TCTATCGAAATAAAATATATGGTAAAACAATGAATAATGATTTAGGATTTAAATTATTAAAAATTTATCATTTCAAATTAAAGATTTTATATAACGGAAAAAATATCATATTTACAATTTAGTTATATTTAATGAATTCATTATAAATTATAGTAAAAAAAAGAATATATTAAACTTTTGTAATTTTGTCTAAAATTATTAAATACAATAAATCAAATAATTAAAAATCTTGGATGAAAAAATTGTGCATCGCACGGGCTTTCATCTAGTATATAATACTAAAACAGACACCGGGAATGACACATGTCACTTCTTGGTGTAGTTTTTCCCTCCAAAAATTAATTTTAAAAAATAAATATATTCTAACTTTATTTTTCTCTTTATTTATTTTTTATTGACAATTTATTTAAGACAATAAAATTATATATAATTGATTTATATATTATAATAGCAATTAAAGATTCTTAGTACTAATCTAATAATTAATATCATATCATATATCACTAATAAATAAAGCCGGTCTTGCAGTCAGACCACGAGACAGCGACACTTGGCATTCTAGTTTTTCGCCAAGTATCGCGCCACGTAGGAGATAAATAGGTTTTATTGTGACACATATGATGCTAAGTAAGCGCTTTTTGGATAGATTTTTTAAGATAAAATTGTTGCATAGAGTTTTATTATCGATAAAATTCTAATATTTCATATATACAAAATTAATCATAATTTTTAATAAATATAAGTCAATTATATTTCAATCATCAAATTCGACTTAAAAAGTTCTTTAAAATAAGATCCATTTATAATATATTTAATCACAAACTTTTATATGTAGCCAACTATTACAAGATCAAAGTTACTTTGTTAGTGATATAGGGGTTACTTGGTAAGTGTTATAGTGATTACTCAATTAGTATTATAGATAGGGGTTTAGGGGTTATTAAGTCAGTGTTAAAGGTTACTCCCTTAATATTATAAGGGTTACTCGATCAATTTTATAGGGGTTACTTTGTCCAGCTAGATAGTGTGGTTATCCGCCTACAAAATGCATTGTTATTTAATTTATTTTAAAAAAAATATTAGAGAATCAGTAAAATAAGTTTTACTAGTAAAAATAATTTGGGAAATTCTCTTTGGTAACATCGTAGTTTTTAATTTTCTCAGTGGTAAATTGTACAAAATTTTATTATCCTTGGTAAACTCTAATTAGCTATAATAGTCAAATGGTAACATTAATGATGTTTATATACAATTATATGCCTAACCATGGTTAATTATTTATTTTTTAAAAATAAAATTATATTAAAAAAAAATCCCTTCCCCCACTCACCCAGCCACCACCTGGCCCCCTCCTCGCGGCGCTTAGCCCCGGTGACCCCCTACCCTTCCTTCTCTTTCGGCGACCCCAACCCTCCCTCACCCCCGATTCCCATCTCCCCTCTCCCACTCCCCCACCCCGATTCCCATCCCTCTCACTCCCCAACCAAAATTCGTCCCCTCCAGCCTCCCCTTCCCCAAAAATGCTCCCTTCTCCTGTTCCCTGCCACCCTAAATGCCAAATGCGACGAATCCGCCTCATTTCACGCACACATCAAAGTCCTACAAAACAGCCTCTTTTCTTGCGAATTTGTTTGAACAAGCTTAATATAATGTAGTGAAATTGGGGTTTTGGGATTCAAGGGCGAAAGAAGCGATTCCTGCGAAAATTAGGGTTTTGCCGAGGTTAGTGTTGCAGCCCAGAGAGAGAGGAGATGAAGGTGATAAAAATCGCCGGCGAAATTGAAGGTGAAGGTGAATGTTGAAATTGCAGAGCTGAGTTTTGGAGGTTCAAATTAGGGAAATTTCAAGGGATTGTTTGGGGAAGGGGATTCGACGCTGAGGGCGGCAGTGGGCGATGGTGGCTGCTGTCGTTTCAGGGGGAGAGGGAGGCTGGCGCATCGGTGTCAGAGAGGCTGGGCGCCGGCGTGAGTGGGGGCGGAAAGTGGTTGGAGGGGGAAGGGGTGGTTTTTTTTTTTTAAAAAAAAGTTAAAAAAAAATATCAATAAAATAAATAAACTAACTATAGTTAAATATTTAACTACAGTTTATCACTAATTTTATGGTTAGCTTAAAATAAAAAATTCATAAAAAATTCAAGTTTACATAGAAAACTTGAATTTTTTATTTTAAACTAACCATGACATTGGAGTTTTTTATTTTAAGCTAACCAAGGACAAAAGGATCCAAATTCAATTAAACAACATACGGAGTAATATAAATAACACGTACACACCATACTACGAATGAAGTATAATACAAACGGAGTATGTTAATTAAGCACGCCATAAACTTCATTAAGATGATAATGAAATACAAATAAATAAACTTAGTGAAATGGTACTCGCAACAACTTAACACAACATATATGCTTAGAATTAAGTAGCTTAGAGTATGTACATGTACCGTGTACATACGTAGTGTTATTATAGACTATAGGTAATTAAAAAAAACCACTCTTGACTCTTGAGATAATGACTAGATTGTAAATAACAGGTGCCATACATTCCATATTAGCATGTTCGAATTGATAGATTGATCTATGAGATGCTCCAACGGTTGCGTTTGTCGTCTTTGCTGCATGGCTTCTCACCCGCGTACATGCAAGGCCGTGGAGAAGCTTCACAGCTTTTGGCTTCAGAAAATAAAACAAGGCCAATTATTAACATAATTATAGTTTTCGCGAATTTTGAAAACTTAGTCTTCTTCATCGTCGATTTCTTTATGTGTTTGTAATTTTTGTAGGGAATGTATATTGAATTTTTTTTGTTATGAAGATGTATTTCCTTTCTATAATTTGTACTCTATTTATAGAGGGGTTTTTTTTAACCTTCACCTAAGTGCATGAATTATTGATTTTCATTAAAGGTTTTTAATATACTAGCTACTTCGTATATATTATTATGGATCATCATTTTCGCCGGAATCGTTGCCGGAATCGTTGGGCTCAATAATTAGTCGTACGTCCTTAAGTTGGACGTTAGATCACATGGTTTACATACATTGTGAGTTGACCTTGACTTCCAGCTCGATCGCTTCGATGGGGTTAGAAAAGAAGTAAGCCTAGCTAGCTACCTAAGATGATAAGTTTAATTAAACCTGGATTAATTCGATGAATATGAACTTGTCCGAGGTTGTGAAGAGTTGGGCGGTTTATTTAGGTTCAATAATGTACTCCTTCTATTTCTAAAAGTTCGACTCTCTTTGTGCAAATTTAATAAACATCTTTGACCACAAATATCTTCGTTCAGGTATAAGCAAAAATTATAAAAAGTTATTATTTGGAAATTTTATAATAAGGGGAATCTAATAAGATCTCACGTGGTAATTTATTTCTATTGTATAAATCATAAAATGTGATCAAAATTATTTTATTTTGATCACACAAGTAGTAAATGAGTCGAACTTTCAGAAATGTGATCGCATGATGTGTGATTATATTATGAAATGATACATATATTTATGGACCACATTAATAAGCAAAAACACACAAAATAAGTTGACATTTGATGAGCGCCTAATAATTTATACATATTCTTCTGGTATGTCGCATCATTGCATAAGTTGACATTTGATGAGCACATAATTTATTCCTTTGAGTGTTGTTGTATAATGTTGTTCCATGTTCTCTACTTAATCAACATGGTTATCATTTATTACCTTAGTAAGATACATAATGTTTCTCACCCTTACCAATCTACACTTAATTAAATTGCAATTGGAATATTTAATTTAAACCAAAACTTGTCTCTTAATTAATGGGGAATTATATATACGGCTTTTATAAGTGTAAATATTAAGCACAAATTAAACACCATTATACTACCGATTAAAGCATGAATTTTTCATAAATGAACATTAATTAATATACCTACTAAATTGAAGGTGACATTCTCCATATGTGTAGGCTAATTGGAATTATTCTACTACGTAATTTGTTTATCAAACCCCCTCTTTAATTCACATGATTAAATTACTAGAGTATTTGCTAATGCAATTGGATGGCATTTTGTCAACCAAATTTGTTGGATACTTATTAGCATCAATTCTTATACTCATACTGTCATACAATTCATATATATACCTCATTTTAAATTTATTACAACATTTTTAAATTTGTACTCCGTACTATTTATTTTGATCAAAAATTTTTACTTTTATTGAAAGCAAATGTTATCAAGTTAAATGTTGTTAAATTAATTTCATTTACACTTTCATAATGTCAATTTTTTTAAATTTTCTATTGCTTTATAATATATAATTATGCATAGTCAAACTAAGCCAGCTATATCTAATTAAAGTGTTGCAATTTTTTGTAAAAACAAAAGGAGGTAATTTCTCTTATACACATACTTTTGGTCAAAGTCAAATGGGAAGAATATAATGGAAGATATATATATATTTTTTTTTTTGGTGCAATATGGATTAGAGAATAGTACTTGCCAGATTAAAAATTTCAAAAAACATGAAACCCTCTATATAAAGGGTACGATACAAATTGAAAGAACATCACTGAGATAATATCACCCAAAATTACCTCAACCTATAATCTCACATTCTCACTCACAAACACACAAAGAAGAGATCAAATATGATGAAGAAGACTAGTTTTGCTCATTTTGCAACAACTATCCTTATGCTGCTATTCGCGGTGCTCATCCTCCTCTCTCAAACCACCCAAGCGCGACCACCAAGTAAAGAAATGTACGCTTCAAAACCAAAGCCTGGGGTTCACCAGAGCCGCGATCGCTGGAGCATCTCGTAGAGAAAGCTATAACAAACAACTATGAGTATTCATTTGCATGGAATAATGCATGGAATGGATAGTTATACTCTATATATGTCATATATACTTTTATGCTGTGTGTTCCGCGACATTTTATACTCTGTTCAAATTTGCAAGTTTCTTTTTATAACTTAAATGTAATTTATATAGTTTAACTAAAATTTCTTTTTCTCATACATTGTTCTACCATTGTAAGTCTGTTACATGTTCATTATTGAATCTGATTCTGTTGTTTATGTATGATGAATTTCTAATGACGTTCTTTTTTTTTTTTTTTTTTTTTTTTTTTTTTTTTGTTTCCTAATAATAAATTATGTTATAGAGTATAATTATTCACCAAGAATTCAATGCAGTATGAATAGTTTGTCAATGCAATAGCGCATGTGAATGGCAACATAAGCCGTATCAAAAACTCTCATTCGGAAAAAAATACGGAGTACTTTCTTTTACAATAATACAATTTGTATCAGCAACATCACAACTTTCTAAACTAGGTTAGCATATATTTGTTCTGAAAGACGTCTGATCAAACTCCACCAATGGATCCAAACTTAGAAGTTAATTATGAGAAAAAGATTGGTTTCAAAAAGTCCTGAGTCAGATTGCAAAAACTCCCATACCAATTTCCTTTGTTTTCCAGATAGGCTAGGCAAGTACCGAACCTACACAATCACATCCAGGAAAAAAAATCACAGTTACAACTTACAAGGCAATAAAAGTACTGCTAGATAAAAGTCGAACAAGAAGCTTCCAGAACCAAAAAACTCAGGGAATGTAATTCTTTAGTGTCATTGCTTCCACATACCAATAGTAATGCATCTTTACATGTCTGAAACAGACCACAAATAGGCTTCTTTCTCAGTAGCGCGTTTTTCATTTGTTCTTTTGAACAATTGCTTTTCATATCCTACATTGCAGTGAATAGAGGATGAGAACATTGCGACTTAACTTTCAAATTTGTAAAAGATTAATCTGTGACATCAAGTAGCAAAGCAATTGATAGCTTCACTCTTCTTGATAAAATTAAGGAAACTAAAGAGTGTCAAGGATTTAGTAACAAGACTTACCAGTACTACGATTAACTCCATCCCAGTGTCTCCCAGGTTTGATGCCGTATCTGTTAGGTTCATAGTCAAGTCCCCTTTTGATCCAGCTGTGACTAGGTATATCTTGGGGAATAATGAAACCAGACTCCTTCATCTTCTCACTATCTCCCAAGTCTGAAAGGAGCAAGTCGGATTGTTTTTTTCTGCAATTTAAAAAGAGTCAGTGATTTCCCATGAGATCACAAGAGCAATAGATTTCATTAACAATCTAACAGAGCATAACCTTGACCAAATGTGCCATTGGATCACCCCACCTAAGTCTATCCTTCATCAGGCTATCGAGTTCTGGATCATCTCTGTCAAAAAAAAAAAAAAAAAAAAAAAAAAGAAGCATCATGAGTTTTTAAAAAGTACACATAATAAAACAACATACCTTATGCGATAACAAAATTCTTTATAAATCTTTTGGATTGCACAGAAAACAAGTCACTTTTTTTTCACAAGATAATATTCACCTCTGTCCAATTTCAAATGTCCTTGCATATTATTTTGGGACATTGTCATTCAATTAGTCACTTCCATAACATAAAATCATATATTCTGCCTTTTCATCCCTCTCGTATAGTCGTATGTCACATTTCTAATATCAAAACACATAATCCCTATCAGCTATCACTAAAAAAAGTCAGCATCCACTTGAGTTTACCTGGACCGTGCAAATGGTTTTTCTTTCTCAAGTTCCATCTCAAGAAGCCTAGCTTCAGCTTCACGTTTTTGAGCCAAGCCCTTGCCCCATTCCAGCTTCTTCTCCTCCTCCTAATCAACAGAAAATCAAAAAAATGCATCAATATTGTTAGTACTGAATTTCTGACAGAATCAAAGAATAAATGCAATGGCTATTGTGGGAGATTTAGTGAGAAGAAAGACAGAAACACAACAGTCAAGTAATATTATTATATTAATGTCAAAAATAAGGAATGCATTTCAGAAAGAGTAATATGACAATATATAAAAAAAAGATGCAAATTAAAAAGAGGGAATTTGCCATTACAGTAACAGATCCAGTATTCCGGTTCTTGAGCAACACTTCATCCAGAGAAAGAGGCAGATAAATTACTACAGCAACCTAACCAAGGAATTGAGCATATCTGAGTGGACCAAAAATTATTTTGCTTGCCCCATTCGTGTTAATTTTAGAGTTCCAATCATTTTCAGTGTATTCTTTTGTGGGAAAACTTTTGATTCCTCAAATATAAATGTACTCATATTAATATATATTTCCTAGAACTCAAAATAATTTCCAACACTACAAGGACGAAGGGAAAGATGAGTACAGTGATCATTGACAGAACTCCTTCCCATACCACCAAAAAAGTGCCTTTCAGGCTTTTCATTTTACAAGGCATGTGTCTCTCATTTAAAGACTTCCCATTAAAAGAAATTGAACCAATAAGTTTGTACCTTGTAGCATATGATAAAAGGAAAGACATGCATAATTATCAAATGACTACTATAACAACTGAGAAAAAACTTTTAAGTGCTTTACTGACTGCAGTCTAATGTTTAGGTTACAATTAAGGACTGCAATCCATGGATGAAATCTAAAGTTACCATACTTTGACGTGGAAAATTATCCCTATTATCATTTAGAGACTCCTAAGATGAGTCATGATAAAGTTCTCGTGCATGAGTAGGATTTTGGGATTCAGTAAAAGTTTCCAAATCAATTCTCAAATATCAAAATTCCATTCCCTTGCTTAGGATACTAAAGCATACTCCCTCCGTTTTTAAATACTTGTTTCACTTTCCATTTCTGGCCGTTTTTAAATACTTGCTCCATTTCCTTATTTGGAAAGCTCTAATAATATTTAATTCATTTCACTCAACTAATGGACCCAACATTAATCATATTTTATTAATTTCATATTCTCTCTCCTCCAATTCTCTCAACTACTTTTGCTTTTTACAATTTTTTATTCTTCCACCTACCCCTCCATATTTTATTACTTTCTCCGATTTCTCCTAAAACTCCGCGCATGGAGAAATGGAGCAAGTATTTACAAATGGAGGGAGTACTAAATAAGCATTTGAGAATCTGAAATAGCAATTTAAGCTATATGAGCTAAAATTTCCCTATAATCAAGAAGAGACTCCTAAAATGGATCACAAAAAGGTTCTCTAGTGCATACTGCATAAATAGGATTTTGGGATTCAATGGAAGTTTCCAAGTTAATTCTCACAAATCAACACTCCTTTCTCTTGCTTAATTAGGGTGCTCAAGTATATAAGCTTGCAATCGTGCTTTAATGAAATTGGAAGAAGAGAACATTCCTTATCACAACCACTTTAAAGGCTTTCTCCTTTTTAGATCTAAGCTTTGTGCAAGGATTAGATTGTTTTAATCTAACTCCATACAACACCCAAAAAAAAAAAAAGGATTGCATAAGAACTTAGCTCCAAAAATCTGAAAAATACTTCTCTTTGGGGCTCCACTTGGGCAGCTCTTCCCAAATTTAATTAATTATAAATTCATTATCAACCCTCTCACTTGAACAGAAGCATATCAAAGAAAGCATCTCTAACATCAAGGCCCTTCAGTAATTGACCATGCATCTCTTAAACTGAAGAAGTTACTAGAGTATGATTGCTTGAACAGTCATAAGAAGAGCAAGCACAAGCTATAAATGGTAAGAGACCTTAGGCACATTTATTATTCACCTACCAAACCCCTGCCTCCACAAAATTTATTAGGAGAAGATTGTATTAGAAGGTGAAGCACACTGGCTAGACTATAAATTTATTAGTAAAACCATTCAGATTCCATTTGTTCAAAAAAGTAGCCTGAAAATGGGATTCTGAAATTGCCAATGGTAGACTATAGATTTGGCCCCAACTCCCAAGGAACAAAACTATGGCACAGAAGCAAAAACCATATTAGGCATCCACATGACCACATGCAACTACCGATGAATAAAGGATAGAACATAATTCTTGTTAAACAGGATTAATCTGTCATCTCAAGTAATCTATAGCATATACAAATTACAATCTAGCACTTGAGTTCTTTTACGTAGTATTTTAATTTTTTGAAGGAACCTAGTGCTCTATGTAGACCTAGGAAATAACATAAAACCAGCAATAGCAATTATTACAACATAGCCTGAGTCCCACATGATTTGGGGTTGGCTGACATGTTTCGTCGAAAAGGAGCAGTCCGCAAAAAATGGAACAAAGAAAATAAAGGTGATAAAATGAAAGTGGACTAAAACAAGAAAACAAATAGTGAGTAAAAAACGAGAGCAGTGTAAAGTGAAAATCCAAGAAGAGAACATAAAGATAAAATTGAAGACAGTTTTATGAAAGAGGAGCATAGGCAGATAAAAGAAAGGAAAATTAAGACTAAAAAAATAAAATAAAATTTAAAAAGTTTCATAAAACCTTGACATAGGAAAATAAATATAGTTTGTAAAACACAGTGAGTATAGGTAAAAATGAAAATACACAGTAATATTAAATACTCCTCTCTAATATTTTATACTCATAAAGAAGCCATTATAGAAAATTTTAGCTACCTTGGGCTTCTCTTGTTTCTTGGTTAACTTCAAGTATTCATCCTTTGATATGCGTTCTCCTGCAATATAGTGTTCAGTGCCATTAAGTTACAAACATATAATGATATAAAATGTCATAAAAATATGACATAGGTCAGAAAGCTATAACAACTGAGAGCAACAAAGCCAGGAACCAATCACTAACCCTTGTAACGATACACTGGCTCGGCACCCCGTCCACTTGCAGAAGGATCCATCTCATTGAATCTAAAAATATGTACATATTTCATGAGATAAAGTCACTGGTATTTGAGAGATATAAGCCAAAACTGAGAATATCAAGCACTCAAGAAAACAACCCACTCCCAAAAATAAAAATTGAGAATATGATTGAAGTAAGATGTTCCCATCTGAACCGCAAACATTTTTTTAGCAACAGTAATAAAATTATACACATGTACCTAGCAAGAATTTACCACTCAAGTGACATGAAACAACAAATTATAAAGAAGCCAAATATATTGATGTAATATACCTCGTCCATTCATCTTTTTTAATTTTTTCAATCTCCGTACTGACATCTTTGCCAGTAATCAAGCCTGTTTTCTGCTGTTGTTTGCTTTTTCTAGGAGGAGACAGGTCTGATTCAATAGACTCCTCTTGAGCACCATTCGCTCTGCGACCCCTTTTATCAATCCCTTTCTGGATTTTCCTTGGAGGTGAAAGATCCTCTGAAACTCGTGAATCATTTAGTTTTGATGAACCAGGGCGCTCACGGCGAGGGGGAGACAGATCATCCAAACCAGAATCTCTTACACCAGTAGCTGAAGAAATTTTCTGAGGCATGGGAGAAAGATAGCCATGAACTCGTCCCCGCCAACGCGGAGGGGACATATCACTGTCCTGTTTTCCATCTGTAGCCTTGGTCCTGTGCTCAGGTGAGGGAGAATCATAACGTCTACGACGCTGCCGTGGTGGTGATAAATCCACTTCTTCACCGGCAGCCAAGGACTTTGATACATGCTTGGATGATGGAAAATCATTATTTTTTTTACGTTGTCGAGGTGGTGACAGATCAGAGCTTTCTCTACCAAAATCATCAGGTCCTGGTGAGGGACTGTCATTGCGTTGGCGACGTTGTCGTGGTGGTGACAGGTCAATAACTTCTCTACCTGAATCTGAAGCATCCATGCCAGGCTCAGGAGAAGGTGTGTCAAACCTAGCTTTTCGATTACGAGGTGGGGAAATATCTGAAGATAAATCATGAGTAGTTGAGCTCTTAGGAGCATCAGAAACTGGAACCCAGCCACTGCCATCTTCAGAAATTTCATTGTAAGAACGCCTAGCTCTAAGCTCCTCCAACCTCTTCATCCTTTTAAATTCAATGTCTTCATCAACTTGTGGCTTCTCATCTACAAAATGAAAACCAAAAAGAACAAATTAGGAAAACACGATATGGCAGAAACTGAAAAAATTGAGTCATAGTCCATGAAAACATACATTATGACATGGAAATTTTACCAGGGGAATCATTCTCTTCCTCTTCATCAAAACTAACCGGCTTTTGCCATACAGGATCTTCATCCACAACAAGTACACCAGCAGCTACTGCAACTGCTTTAGATTTCTTCTTTTTCTTCTTTTTTTGCTTCTCCTCCTCTGCTGCATTACTTTCATACTTCTTCAGGTATTCTTTCAACGACGAAGAAGCCGGTGCTGCCATCACCACTTTTCACTTAATTGTCTCCTAAACCAACAAAAACCAATATAAGGATTGTATTTACTTTCAAACTTCTTCAGGTATTCTTTCAACAAAAAAGAAGCCGGTGCTTCCATCACCACTGCTCACTAAATAACAATTCCCAATACCAACAAAAAACCTATATAAGGATTGTATTTTACTTTCATAGTTCAAGTATTCTTTCAACGACGAAGAAGTCGGTGTTGCCATCACCATTGTTCACTTAACAATTTCATAATTCAGGACTTCAGGTACAGGGAGAACCAGAAAAAAGGTCCATTTTCAATTTCAAAGTTCCTTCCTACAATTAACTAATTAAGGGTTACAAGAAACAGCCTGCAACACATTTGCACCCAAATTTGGCTTAATTATCAAATTAAGCTCCAAAAATCCGCAATAAATTCTTCTTGCTTAGGAATATCAACGTAAATAAAACAAAATTCTAGCAACAAAATCGATCATTACAAATTTATAATCTTTCGTAACATCAGTAATTATAATCAAAAGTTCAATAATCCAGCTTAGAAGAACCCTAAATTGGCTATACTGATAATTAAATAAACGATAAACCCTAGATTGAGAAATTGATATACAATGATTTGAAAAAAAAAAAAAATCTAACCTCAGAAGGTGCTTCAATGGAGGAGAGAAAGCTCAGAAACCGCTTCAATGGAGGATTCAGAGTACACGCTACAATGGAGGAGAGAGAGAGTTAGAGGGAGTAGAGCGTAAAAGTTAAAAAGAGAAAACAGAAGGAAAAAAAAATAGAAAACGTAGGATTTAGATTAATGAGACGAATAAAATGTCAACCGTCAGATATTCAGATCTAATAATATCAACGGTGATAATTCTTTTAAATAGTTATTCCTCCGTTTCACAATAATCTTTCCATTTAGAAATTTAAATTTATTTACAAGTTTCGGTAAATTTGATTTGTCAATGTGAGTATATCTGTATATTGCTTTGTTAAGATATTGTTTTTTTATAATTTTTGCTAATGTGAATTTAATAACATTTGCAAAGATTTACATCATTTATTAAAGAAACATAAAATAATTAAAAACAAATGTCGAGTTGAACTAAATTTATATGAAGTACGGATTTCAAAATCAATAAAAATCTTCAATTACAAATTAGAGAAAATCAATTTTAATTAGGTACAATGAGCCTTAACACCCTTAGCTGTAGGTTGGGTGCATCCAACACTCCAAATTTTGACTTATTTATAGTTGGCACACCATCAAGGTGTAACGCAAGAATCTTGTGATTGAAAATGTGTCTCTTACAGGTTAACCCGGTCCAAAAGCACGACAAGGCCTCTCGAGAGTGGGGGAAAGGATAATTGAATATTCTTTGTAAGTTGTTTTTAGTGCAGATTGAATTCACAACCTCAAAGTTATGAGTAACAATTTTTACCACTAGACCAATCATTATTTGGTAACTCCAGCATTATATTGGCAATACGCCAATAAATTTATCAGAGTACTTGATTACACAAAAAATTCCCGGTTATCTTTCCTCAGATAAATTACAAGTTGATTTTCATGATAAACAACAGTCGTTTATCTAATATATTGACATATTGTAAATAAATGCACAACTTTTTTACTGTTTATGAGTAAAATCGTTATTTGACGTAGCGTTTTAGGGTAAAACCGCTACCTTTTTTTTTTAGGGAAACGCATCGAGCGAATATATTAATCAAGGGACAAAGCGTCCGAGAGTAAATAATGAGCAATTTCCGGAGGACAATGGTTGATCCATACTTGCTCAACTCTAAAATGTAAAACTCTAGCAAGATAATGGGCTACATTGTTACCTTCGCGTTGGGTAAAACCGCTACCTAGATAAACGTAATGATGGCTCTGGGTCATGTCGGGTCGTGCCTCATGTTAGCCCACGTGCTTTGGGGTTAGTTAGGCTCGGCCCATGACTCAGGCCACGAGTTTCGTGTCGTGCTGTGCCGGGGCGAAGAATTCAAAAGGTTGGCCCGTGCATGGCCAGGTCCACGTGCCATTGTGTCGGGCTTGTGTGCCTAAGTAAAATTGCATTGATTTTAGAATGTTTTGTCGTGTCAGACCCGATCGTGCCGTGCCTTATCGTGCTTCTCCCAAATAAAGGTGGTCCAGGCCCGATACCACGTTGTGTTGTGTTTTTTCGTGCTGGGTCGGGCCGGCCCAGTGCCATCTTTTTAAAATTATTACTCCCTCCGTCCCATAATTAGAGGCAAATAACTCTTAAAAGCACAGTTTTTAAGAAAATGAGAAGATTCCTTGTACATTAATGATTGGAAGTACAATGCCCATGTGGGGTTGTTTTAATGCATTGTTTAAAAAACTTTAAAATATCATAAAAATAGCTGTCATTTTTTTACCCAATGGATATTGATCCTTACATTTATTGTTAACCAATAGCATTCCAAAATGAAAGAGTGTGGTCCAATAGCATTTCAGTATTGGAAGCACACGGATTGCTCCACAAATCTCACAAGTTTTCTGGGAAAAAAAAACCGCCAAACTTTTAAGCCACAAATATGGCGCCATATTTTCACCTTTTCAAAGGTGGTTTAAATTTCTGACACAATGACCTTACATATACATATAAATACCACTGCATTGCCAGAAAAATAAAGGAAGGAATGTTTCAGTATCCAACTTAAGGAGTAATTACATAAAATTAATTGCAATTTTTGAATTCACTTTTGTGCATCATTGCCTGCTGTTGAAGGCCTCATAAATGGACTTGAATGAAGATTGGTCGCCAAGTGATGATGAAATACATGGAGGTGAAAACGATGTCAATATTAGGGGACATTCTTTTGATTTAAATCAGCTGCCAGTTGAAGAAACAGGGGCAAATGTCCATAATGCTTCAGGAAATCAACATATCAACGATTCAGCGACCAATCAAGAAGAACAAAGAACAAATGCTCAGGCAACAAACCAAGGATCAACTCATCACAGGCATCAACAAGTCAGGCTCAACAGTGAAGACAAATTTAATGTCCTCATTTTCCTGTTAAAATATCATGAGGGAGATGATATTAAAAGAGGGGCAATAAAAGCAACCATGGAACATTTCAACCTCAAACGAAAATGTGTCAGCTCAGTTTGGAATGAAGCAAAGAAACAGAAACAAGCACTGGGAAAATACAAACCATGCACAAATTATCACCTGGCTGGAAGGAAAAGAATCACTGTTCCAGTAGGGGACATTACAAAACTTGGGATTGGTGAAAGGTCATGCATTAGAGATGTAGCAACAAATCTCAATATCTCAAAATCAACAGTTGGCAGAATGATCAAGAGGGGAGATATAAAAGCACATACAAATGTAATTAAGCCCCCACTGACTGAGGCTAACAAGTTGGCTAGACTGAAGTGGATACTTGGTCTCATAATGGGTTCATCACCATGGAAAATGTCAAGATACTTCCCAATGTATGACTTTGTTCATATTGATGAAAAATGGTTCAAACTAACCAAAAAAAGTCACAGGTACTACATTGCCAAGAATGAAAAGGGTGTACACTAAACAGGGTCAGCAAACAGTCATGGGCCAAAATTCATGTTCACAGCAACATGTGCAAAACCAAGGTAAAATGATCAGGGGGAATGTTATTTTGATGGGAGGATTGGAATCTTCCCATTCACAACACAAGAGGCAGCCAAAAGAAAGTAAAAAAATAGGGAAAAGGGGACATTGATAAGCAAGCCCATTGCAAAAGTCACTAAAGAAGTCACAAGAAGAATGCTCATAGATCAAATAGTCCCAGCAATTAAGGCAAAATGGCCAAATGATGGCACCTCAAGGACAATATACATTCAACAAGATAATGCTAGGGCACACATAACTCAAGATGACCCTGAGTGGCAAGAAGTACATATGCAGGATGGCTTCACATTCATTTTGGTTCAACAACCTCCAAATAGTCCTGATTTAAACATACTTGATTTGGGTTTTTTTAAGAGCATTCAATCACTTCAAGAAAAAAAAATGGCCTCAGATGTTGATGACTTACTTAAGCATGTAAATGAAGCTTTTTATGAGTTAGATCCACAAGCTTTATATTTTGTGTGGATCACCCTACAAGGAGTAATGAATGCAATGCTAAAAGTAGGTGGCTCAAATGCTTATGATGTTCCACATATGAACAAGGAAAAATTGTGGAGAGAAGGAACACTCCCAGATACACTAGAGGCACCTAAGTGGGCTGTATTAGATGCATGGGAAGCTGTTTATGGGTCCTTACCACCAGTTGAAGAGGAAGGGGGGTCACCAGAGTTTGTCAATGAGTTTGAACCACATGTGCAGCAGCAAGCCACAGAACAAAGGCCAATTTATGGAAGTACAACAAACAATGAACAAACAGAGAATGATCAAACAACAAATCATGCTTTGTGGGAATCACAAGAAACAGAAGACTATGTTTACATGGCATCACAATTCAATGAAGACAGAGATGAGTATGAAGACAATGACCCTTTTTGGGATGCAATGGTACATGAACAAATTAATGAGTTCACATCAACAACTCCCACCAAATATGGCACAAAGGTGTGTGCAAATGATCATGAAGCATCAAGTTCAAAACCATCATCAAAGTAAGTAGATCATGCATAATTTCTAAAGTACTCAGTAGTTTATGCAAATGGTATCATAAAGTGTCATCATCCCTTTTTGTAGGCAATTGATACCTTCTGTTTATGTTTATCTTTGTTAGATTTGAAGTTAGTTTGAAATCATTACTTTTTGTATGCAAATGGCACATAATATATCAATGAATTAATGGATTTCAAACTTATGGGATAGAAATCATGTTTATCTTTTTGGTTTTGGTCTCAGATGTCCCCATTCATCATTGAACATCATCCCACAATCAACAACAATTGCCTAAAAGTCTCAAACAACCTATATGAAACAAACATAGGTGGAATCTAATGGCAAAGTGTTGTGGACTTATGGGATGATACTCTCACATTGTGGACTTTCATCATTGTGGACAGAAAAAAAATAAAGGGACAAAAATTAAATCAAATGGAAGATAATATAAACTTAAAATTAGCCTCAGTTTGCCCCATCAATCATTGACCCAAATCCCAAGTGTTTAAAAGCTCTACCTGATTGAGCATGCAAACAGTCAACACCAAAACTTAGTTTAAGTGGACAAGAACAATGGCAAACACTCTTAAACACAAGGGGATTTGGGGTCTCACCATTCAGGTTATCATCATTGACTTTTTTAAGCACAAATGGCAAGCATAGAAATCAGTCACCAACTTCAAATCATATCCAACTCAGATCATACCAAGAATAAAAATCATATCCAACTCACTAGTAGCATCATAACATACTCTGATAAATCATACCATATGCACCTAATCATCATAATCAAAGCATCCTCCTAATCATATCAAATGAAAACATATGACCCTCATATTCCAATCAAATCATGCATAATCAGTCACCAACTTCAAATCATAGGTAATTCCTAATCATATCAAATGAAAGCATAGTTAAACATGTTTCACAAAATAAATAAAATTTCGGTCCTAACATGCTCCTAATAACAATTCTCCTCATCAAGCACACATAATTCCCCTGGCCAGCAAGAGATCACACTTGCTGGCATACACCATCAACAACTAACCTAATATAAAATGCGTTAAAACAAAGATTTATAGGGAGGAAGAATACTTAGCTATGTGATTCATATGAATCACTTACGTAGCCGCCAACATTACCGTCGTCCGAAGGTGAATTAGTGTTGCTGGAGTTACTCACATTGCCTAATGTGTAATTAGGAACTGGAGATGGAGGTGACACGGTGTTTTTGTCAACAACAGGGGACTTTTTTTCAACATCACGGGACTTTTTTTCAGCAACAGGGGAGGAGTTAACTTCATCATCATTTTTTTTTCCAGCCATTTTTGATGTCACCTCCTCACCACTTAGGGTTTTACCATCGCCGTCACCAAAAGACCACCCATACTGCTGAAAATGTTCTGTAGTGTAGAGGTAACGACCAAAGTGACTCCTCCAAACCTCTAAGCTGTAAGAATGGTCGCCATTGCAGTCAGTCGGCCAATGACAGTCACGATCTGAACACTCGTAAGGCACGCTTTCCCCATTATCCTCATCACTGTCGGTACGAAACAAAATATCAGGATCTGGGCCAAACCTTTCATCCCAAACTAGAGGATTTTGTTTTGGAAGATTGGAACTCGAATTCTTAGACATGTTGTCGAAAATAAATTGGAGAAAGAAACTCAATTTCTGCAAAGAAATTGCTTAAGATTGTCGAAAATTAACACCTCACCTAATCGAGGGAATGAGTCGTCAGTAACTATTGAGCAAGCTAACCCTAGATTTGATGGTTTTTTAGGAGAGAGAAAATGAACAGTGACTCAGACAATTTCAGATCTACGACAAACCGAATCAATTTGCGCAAAATTATCATGGGGCTTTTGTAGAGGGGACTATTTAAGAGGGAATCATGTAAATTTCGTGAGATTTGAAGCAACAAGCCATGAGAATTAAGGAGAGAGAGTGGCGGAGGATGAAGAACAGAAGAGAGAGAGAGAGAGAGAGTGTGTAGTGGAAGAACCCAGAAAATAAATGGAGAGAGAAAATATTCAGAGAAAAGGAGTAGAAAATGAGAGTAAGTGGGAGTACAAAGAATTAATTGTAGGGTATTAAAAGTACACTTATCCCCAAAATAAGATTCCAATTCAGCTTAAAATGAGGATAAATTCGTCAATTAAAAACTAAGATGAGGGTATTATTGTCCAAAAATATAGTCTAAAAATAGAAAGATTCCCCTATATCAAACATTTTGGGACACTCAAAATGGTATATTTGCCTGTAATTATGGGACGGAGGGAGTAATAGTTATGATCAATGGGTCCCTCCTTTCCTTACCAAATGCACTTAAGCAGCTAAGCACTTAAGCTAGATGAATGCCTGAATTAGGAAGCTTGCTCTGAAAACAAAAATGGAGTTTATCGACGACTATGACGAGAGCAGACCCAGGCTCATCTTCCAATCTCGCTCCCAACCTTCTTCAGCCGCCATTGATTCACCTCTAAATTCCCAGAAAAACAAGCCTCTACTCATCATTTCACTCTCTTTCTCTCTCATCTTCCTGGGTTCTTCCTTCTTTCTCCAATCACAGATTCTAAATCCCCTTTTCCTATGGCTTTCTCTCTCTTTCCTCGTCGGTCCTTTCGCTCCTATCTCTCTCACTGCTGGGGATATTCGAGTTGGGCAAGGAAGAATCGTCGATTTCCCCCCTGAAACCGAGGCAATTGAAGCTGAGGAATCCAAGAAAAAATTGCCCAATAGACGGAATCGAGGTAAACGATCTGATTTTGATGGGGTTATTCCTAATGGGTCTTCTGATTTTGTGAAGAACAGTGAGAATTTGGTTGATTTGAAGGAAAAGGATAGAGGGTTTTCGAAATTAGGGGAACATGTTGATGGGGTTGTGATTGAGGAAAGAGAATGGAGTGAGGAGGATTCAGGGTTGTTGAGAAAACAAATTTTGAAGCACCCAGTTGGGAAGCCAAGGAGATGGGAGGTGATTGCTGAGGCTTTCAAGGGTAGGCATAGTGTGGAGAGTGTGGTCAGTAAAGCTAAGTCATTGGGGAAGGAGAAACCCGTGGATTCGGATTCGTATTCGAAGTTTTTGAAGGATCGAAAGGCGGTTGATAAGAGGGTAGAAGATGAAAATGTGGCTGTGGATAAGGAAGAAAGTGGCGGGGAGGTTATTACTTGGAGTTCAACTGAAGATATTGCTCTACTTAATGCATTGAAAGCATTTCCAAAGGATGTTGCTATGAGGTGGGAGAAGATTGCTGCTGCTGTTCCCGGGAAAACGAAAGCCGCTTGTATGAAGAGAGTTTCTGAATTGAAGAAGGAATTTAGGAACTCTAAGGCTTCCTGAGAGCTAGTTTAATGAGTTCTATTCATGTCTTTGAATTGCGGCAATACTCAAACGAGGTATGGTTGCATCACCACTCAATTTAATGTTTTTTGGTTGATTATTGAAGTTAAATTCAATTTATATCCTGTTTATGAATGTGCTAAGAAGTTTAGTGACTGATTGACTGGAATCATTATTGTACTTTTTAGCTGATTTGGCATTTTGTGTGCATGCCGCTGCTACATTTGTTTAGAATCCTTTGATAAGTGCATAGTTCAAAGAGCTTAATAAGGAGGTTATGATATAGGTGGTTGGCAAATTTAGAGAGGTCATGGAGGTACATTAGATGAGCATGGGGAGATAATAGAGGAAGGCTTTATTGTTATGATCGAATAGAGATGATGATTGAAGTTGGGGATGCTTAGAGTTGTTTAGCGGATGCTGATCACTCTAAATAGAGTTAAAGCGTGGTAATTTAGAAGCTAATTTTTTGCTGTGATGGGATAGCTCTTGCTTATCCATATAATGCTTAGTAGTGAAAGGTGAAAGCCTGATACTTGCCTCAATAAAAATTGACAATCTTGAGTAAAATATCCTTTGAGGGCTCTGAAATATTTCTGAAGGGCTATAGAAACCGCTAGACTGTATCTCTCCATATCTTGGTGAGCAGAACCCAGGTCATATGCTCTGCTGTATGGAGATATTCAGGTGACTGTTTTGAATATTCTGGATTGTATTGAGATAAGTGATAGTCGAAGAACATGGAAATGTAGCCAACTAGAAAGGAGTTTTGATATAATTGGTAAAATGCAATATGAGACTTTCATATAAACATTTGCAATTGTGTTAGGGTTAGTATTAAGGATTTAAATTAGGTTTTGATCATGACATGACACATGCGCTACCCTTCCAAAAGAGGACTTTGGTACTCATTCCCTATTTTCCAATTAATGCTTATTCTGAGAAGCTTTGGATTTTTATGTATACTCCAGACTCCAGTACACCCAATTGTCTTTACTAAGATCCAGTAATCCTTAATTGAGCTGCTTACTTTGCAATTTCATGTGCTTTAAGTCAGTAGTTATGGTAACATTGGGTGTCTATTGACTCTACTGAAGAAAAAACCCAATGCTTTAAAGGATGAAGTTCAGGACTTCAGGATTTGGAACCAGCAAAATGCTCATATGACATAACTATATGTTCCAGGTTCCAATTTGGGCTGGGCTGACAATAGCCCAATCCAATGGTTATGTTTAATACAAGTAATATTTTGAAGTTTTAGATAGATTTTTCCAAGGGAAATAAAATCCGTAGGCTGAAAAATTAATGGCATGTAATGACATAAATTGGGAAGGCATCTACCTCTATCCATAGTAGGTGTGGATCACTTTCCCTGTTATTAAATAAGAGAAAACATTGTTCTAAATACACCAGTGTTTCCTAATTTGTTAATGTTAACCATGCAATACTATCTGGAAAGTGCAAATTTGTATGTAGAACATTATACTGAATATTGGTATGACTTTGGACTAGTTTGGCTGATTTGGGAAGTGAATCACAATTTTTGTACCATGTTCCTGGTAACTTACTTCAAATTATCTGGGTAATTTGAAATGAATTAGGTAGAGAGGACCAAAACAATTTTCTTTTGGACTATTGAGCTGGGCGTAATCTCCTGTATTCTAAAGACATTTCAAAGTTTTCATATCTTTGACTAAGGTGTGTACTGTGTAGTGTGTCTTCTTGTTGAATTGAATATTTTAACTCTATACGCCTTTTGAATTGATCTTCTTTATCCCTGGACAACAAGACATAAAATCGTTATCAATGTCTATCACTATCCCCATCAGCATTATTGTCTTTGGGTTTCTTAATCAAAAGAACATCAGTATCCAGGGTGATGATATTTTTTTTATATAGAATAATGGCTGACTATATTGGGATTTTTTTTAACCATGACTCTTGTACCTGTTTTAAATAATACCTGTTAAGAAAACGAGTGCATAAGTACAATGACTACAGTCTTTTGCTTGTGGTCTAGGCTCTAAGGTTCCCTTGAAAGAAACCAACAATCAACTGAATCAAGAGTCTGTTTATGTGCATGATTATTCAACAAGAAATCTTGAAAGGAACAAAAATGGGGTATTTTGTGAGGAAAAAAAATAAAAAAGAGTACAAAGCCTTAGAGATGACCCACAAAATATATTTTCAATTAAGCAAAGTATTTATTGAAGAATTTAGGAACAATTTAAAAAAAAAATCCCATCGAAGAGCATCTGCAGGTTGATATTGCGCCTAAACTTCCAACAGTCCATAGGAAAAGAACCTGATCCACCTGGCGAAAACACAAGGCATAAATGGTGCGATGAAAGGCAATAGATTATAAAGAATAATATCCTTTGAACTACATAAAGACATTGCATAGAAGATATTGAAAAATAAGGTCTGATGGTCTTATGAAAATTAGACTTAAATAAGCAATGAAGTAGCCACTAGCAGCTACCCTGGTAATCGATACTAATTTCAACTCTAGTGACATAAAAATTATCAATATAATCAAAGCTTGGTGAATTTGGCTAGGGGTATAACTTGTACTCATAAGGTCAAATCCTCCCAAATACTGATTAGGGTTGAGGATCCCTTATCCCACCCCTTCCCCTTCACTTCCTTGTGCCTGAAAAATTGGACTAAGAGATTATGAGGGTTGAGGCTTAGTTTGGGCTCTCCTTACTTTTCTTTTTTATTTACTACGTAAAAAAAAAAAATAATGATGTAATCTAAGTTGGGGTGCAATGGGCAACAAACTGGCGCAATAGTGAGTCATATATAGAATGTGTGAGTATTTGTGCAACCATATGCCGAATCAAATAATGCTCCATCTGTTTATGAAAAATCTTTTTGAGAGGGAGAGAGAGAGAGAGAGTTAGTGGAGGGGTCCACTTCATATGGGTTTGACCTAGAAAGTTTTCTATTTTAATTAACAAGAAGATAATTTGTGGGCATATTAGAAATTAATACATCAAGATTATTTGTGGACAAAGGGAGTATAAAATAAGGAGGGAGAAGGGGATAAAGGGAGTATAAAATAAGGAGGGAGAAGGGGATTTTCCATTTTTAATTTAGCATCCACATATGGAACACACTAAAGTGGTCATAGAAATAAAATGCAGTTCCATGTTGAATAGCTGGATCCAGGGGTCAGGAAGATGGTTAAGAGTATAAGGAATATTTCATAATTGGCACAGCTAAAACCAAACAAAGCTCAGCTTCTAGGAGTGCATTGAAGGAAATGCAAATTGCCGGCGAAATGTCTGTAAAGTCAGTGTGAGCAACCTAGGATTGTGATGAATTGGTGATTGAGACTGGAAGAGTAAGATTGAAACTTTCAAAGCTTATATGAAGATTATTTTAGGGTGTGTTCTAGAGAATTATTGAGGGCACTTACAGTCTTACAGAGTTGAGTGTGCTAATCGAATATGGCATTCTAAGTTTTAATGGAATGAGTTAGGGGTACTGAATATTCCATGAATTATCACTAGGCTAACAGATCGAAGCTTCCAATAAGATGGTTTTGAGAGGATAATTTAGCGAGAGAAGGGGCCTTCTTATTCCTAATAAACTTTGCTAGCAGGTTTTTTTATGTGGATATTATGGTGTCAAGTGCTATTTTTTAAAACCAAATTAAGGACATTTGTTAAGCATAATATTTGGGCTTCAGGGTTTTTATTTTTTTATTTTTTTTTTATTTTTTATATATATATATATTTTGTTTTTTTATTTTTTATTATCATTTGGTCACTGCTCTTCTGAAAGCTGTTTGGAGTTGCTACTGGCCCTATACATATTTTACAGGGACTGAGTCGTTTTGAGTTGGTACTGCTTGAAGCTGAAATCTAAGTCATGAATTGTTGACTCAAAATTGATGGAAGCAAGGAAATCTTAATTGCTTTGAATTTTGATGTTCAGCTTCATAGGGATGTGTAATTAGCATAATTGTAATAGATTTTGATTTACTAATGATTAAACAATGTTGGCCTCCACCCTAAATAAAGGAGGAGGAGGGGAGGGGGGGGGGGGGAGATGCCAAGATTGATGATTAAGGGTCTGATGTTGTGGTTAAAAGTTGGAAAATTGACATTCATATATATATGTTACATTGCTCCAAACATTATAAGCTCTCATCATTTGTGTGAATGATCTATATGACTGACTGACTGTTCGGCCTGTTCGCTAAATGCTGTTTCAATGCATAATCTATTTATTGGAAGATGTAAATTTTAATTTTCAACCGGTGAGATGCGTAATTAACAAGAACGAAGAAGGGACTCCTTATCCAGAGCTTGAGAAATTCAATACACTCTAAGAAACAGAGGAACTAGCCTACGCTAGAAATTTTAGTAGTAGTTCTCTTCTGACCCATAAAAAGATTCTGTTTCTGTAGAAATTGAAAGAGCATGTCCTGACATCTCTAATGTTACAGCTAAGCAGTAAAAGGAGGCTAACCTTTGTCAGTTGTTCAGACTAAATCACTCAGGGTGCTGGTCCTGTAACATTCCCCTTGTAGCTGGTAATGGAAAAGTACAGTTTGAATATGTTCAACTACCCAAAAGTCTTGTCCCACACCTGGAAGTAGTTTGAGGGCAAAATCTTTTGACACATCATAGAAGCGAAGGGCAGTGAGGCTTTTTAGATGGTGGATACCTGTTGGCACGGTATCTAACCTTGGGATTGGGCCCATCTTCAGCAACCGTAAAAGAGGCAAGGCACCCACCTCTATTGTCAGTGTCATCAAAGTATTCATGTCGTAGAGCTTTAGAATTTTAAGCTTCTGAAAGCCTGTGGCCTGAAAAACTAGCTCTTCACCAAGAAATGCTTCCTGGAGTACAAGCTCTGACAAAGTTGGCAAATTCTGAAGGATAGACAGTGGGTCAATTATCATCCTAGACCACATTAAACTAACTGTAACAAGATTTTTGAGCTGGGGAATCCAATCAGGTATCCTCTCTAGGCGGCCTTTTAAGTATAGGCGTTCAAGATGTTGGGGAGGGGATGAAAGAAATTTTAGGTCAAGGATCTCTTCTTCACTTTGTGAACAAACCTCTAGAGATTCAAGGTGTCTCATCAAAGCTATGGACTCACAAAACATTTTCCCATTTGGTGTTTCCAGCTTGGTTATCCCCAACTTCCTCAATTGCTTCAATTTTCTCAACTCCCTGAATAAAGTTATCCCATGATTCGCCTCTACAAGGTATAGCTTCTGCAGATTCTGTAGACGGCCTAACCCTTGTTTCAATTTCAACCCTCTTTGACTGCTTATGCTAAAATCAGTTTCATATTCATAGCTGTATCCAATAAGATACTGCAGATTAAGTAGCCTGTTTATTTCACCTGGTAGCTCATGAACAAATGAGCATTTGAGATCCAATGTCTGTAGGTTATGTAGCTTACCTATGGACTTTGGTAGTTTTTTTGTCTTTGTGTTCCTTAGACTTATATACCTTAAGTGAAACAGATCTCCAACTTCTTCAGGAATAAAATCGGTAGGTGCACCATCCAGATCTAGCACTTTCAAAAGCTTGAAAACTTTAGTTAGTGCACACAAAACAGAACTTGGGAAGTTGTCCACATCAAATATTGAAAGTGAGCGGATTCCAAATTTTCTATTGCTCTTCAGAAAACTGTCGTCGTTGCATCTGTGGATTGATAACCTTCTTGTTAAACCATCAAAACTTGAGCTACTTCCTGTCCATACATTTCCAAAACTTAATTCCTCTGATTTTGAGAGAATGATCTCACGCATCAAATCATGCACTCTGATTGTTCTAATCTTCCCATCAACATCTATACGTGAGACTTGAACTAAGCTTCTATTTATAAGTTCTGCCAGGTATTCTTCTGCAACTTGCTCCATCGTTCTTCCTCTTGTCCCTTTTATGAAACCTTCTGCTATCCATAGTCGGATTAACCGTGCATGTCTGATTGAGTAGTCCTCAGGCAACATCCCAAAGTACATCAGACACAGCTTTAGGTAATAAGGCAAGTCATAGTAGCTGAGGGACAAAATTCTGCTCATACTTGAGAGGTGAGGATTGGTCAGCAGCTCAGAACCAAGGCTGGATTCGAGCTTCTGCAATTCACTCTTGGCTTTTCTTTTAGTCGATAACATTCCTGCAATTGCAACAACTGCCAGTGGCAAGCCTTCACACTTCTTCACAAGGTTGCCTGACAACTCCTTAAACTCTGATGGGCTGCCACTCTCTATATCAGAGTGGAATACCTTCTTGCAGAATAGTTCTAAGGCCGCTTCCTCAGGTAATGGTTGTAGTTTGTACATTTCATCAAATGAAGATTCTTTGCATGAAGAAGCCACATATTCAGAACGTGTTGTGATCAATACCCTGCTGCTTTGACCATCATCCGGCAAAGTATGCCGAATCAGTGCCCAAAATTCTACTGTCCAGACATCATCAAAAACAACCATATACCTCTTTTGCTTTAAATATTCTCGTAGCTCGATTATTAGCAATGTCTCGTCCATTTGATCAATCTCTGTTGGAGGGGTTTCTTTCCTTGCCTTGTAGAATTCTTTCAAAGTTTTCCTCAGCAAATCCTCAACCTTGTATGATTGTGAAACAGTGATCCAAGCTTGATAGTTGAAGTGATTAGTAACAAGATGATTCTCATATACTTTTCTGACAAGTGTTGTCTTGCCTAGCCCACCCATGCCATAAACCGAAATCACTGTGCGTTTAGATGCTCCATTGACTAACCAGCCAATCAACCTATCTCTGTGGGACTCTATCCCCACAACTTCAGCTTCTTCAATGAATAATGAAGTGACACGGGGGTAATGCCATGATTCATTCTCTCTATTTGCTTCTGGCTCTGAGGACCTGAAGCCAAAACTCTTGCCCCTTTCTTTGATGGCATGGATTCTATCTTTAATATGCTTAATCTCACAAGCCATCTGGGATTGAGGTTTTAGCCTGAGAATCCTGCAGAGTGCCCTGCCTAGAGTGCCGAAGACTCTGGGACAGTCATGACATTGTGCTTCTGTGGCCATGTAAAGAACATAATTATCCATAACATCTTCTATCTGATAAGCTACCTCTCGCAGTTGGTTCACCCATGTCTTGGCACCATAGTTAATTGCGTCTTTTTCTGCCTTAGCATCTGCATCCCTGACGAAGGACTGAATGCTTTCCAGCTCCCCTTTAATCTGAGCAACTTCTCTGTGGATGCCACTCAAGAATGTTGCTTCATCAACGAGCAAAGGAACCAGATTTTGTATTACAAGGCTCACAACAGCCTCTGTCATTTGTCTCGTTCTGCGCTCACATTGCCAATCAGGCACACCACTATATTGCTTTTGCTTATTCAAGTGGCATATGAGATAATGTCTTCATAGTTGTGAAGCTATAATATGCATACAGTTCCCAAATTAAGAGACCCTTGCATATAGATTGTACTTTGCTGTATGTAATTTGTTTAACAAATGGAATTCTTTTGTGGTATCATAACAAGTCTTTAAGTCAGAGGTGTGGTGGGTGGTGGGGGCTGAAGTCAAGTTTTGAGTATTCCTCGGGTCAGTCAGATTACGTTCACACTTTTTAAGTGGGGTCTTCTTGGACATTATTCTGAGAGGAAATTTCTCTCCCTATCTTTTTCTTTGAAGAAATTTTCTTTCTTCTTTCCCTTTCTTTTTCTATGAAGAAACTTTTCTTTCTTCTTTCCCTTTTTTGCTCAACTCGTTGTTAATTGTTGCTAGTCATCCATGGGTCAAACAACTTTTGATTGGACGTCTGTGTTGCTCGGACATGGCGAGTATGTGTCCAAGTGTTAGACTTGATAAATTTCCATAGTTTCTGTCCAAAAAAAAAGCAGCAGCCTGGTAAATCTTGTGAGTATGCTTCGAGTATTCAAATAAAGGTTTTACTCTTTGAAATGTTCATTGCCTGGCAAATAAAGAAATATTTTGATCGACTTGGTTGCCTTTTTATTGAATTGAACCTAAATAAAAGTGTGAAGATCCTAGTTTTCTTATCTTTTTGGTTTACATCTGATCATTTTTTTCTTGCTATAATAGTTGTATTAGTCATTTTCACAGAAGTGCTCCATATAGTTGTCGTTTGAGTTTTTTTTTATCTGAAAAAAGCAATTGACAACGATGTGTGAATGCAGGAAAATAGAATTTATGCGACATCAACATCGTATTATTACAACTTTCTTCGGAAGCATATATGCTATTATGTATGAGATGAGAAGGAATTATGCTCTGCTCAAGTACAAGTACAAATGCAAATACCGAAACTTTATGCAGATCGTATACATATACGTGATGAGGGGATTCTTCTTGAGCTTCTTTAGGTTAGACAGTAAAATACTTGCTGAACTTCTTGTCCTCTCTCATTTTTGGTTTTTAGATTGTTTCTTCTTTCTTTCCGTATCTTATCTTTCCCTCCTTTTCTTAATATTATTTACTTGGTGTTTGTTTGATAAAATTGTTGAAAGTCGAAACTAATAGTGTTATTTGACCTCCTTACTAACTTTTCTCTTTCAAATACTCTCTAGTCTTTAATAAGTAATAAATTATTTAATCATGTATCAATTTATTTTCTCTGTTTCTGTAATCATATTATCATCATAAACATTTGTCACCCTACGATAGGCAGATAATAGCCAATGCAACCGATGGACTCCAATACACACATAAACAAGCAAGCTTACAATCATTATAATCATCAACTGAAAGTTGTTCACCATATTTATCCCGTGGCTGAAGAACTTGGTTTCGGCGCTGCCTTGTGCAATACGGAGTAGAAACCAATTGGAAGCTAGTTTGATGGAATTGGAATTATCCAATCTGAAGTAGAGTGATTGGGGGCTAAAGAATTCTTCTGGGTAAAATCATTGTAACATGTTCAAAAGTTTGAAATGAAATGAAATGAAATGTTAAAAAGGAAGAGAAAACACTACTCATTGTAAGCAAAAGATACAAAACCAAATACATCAATACCTGAATAAAATGCAAAAAATACATGAATAAAATGCAAAATTGAGAAAACAAAACAGAAGACCAATGTTGGTTGGAGTTGTACTCCAAATCCCTACTAGGACTGTTTGGAAAGAGGATTTCATTTAGCTTCTCTCCTAATTCGATAGAGTTTTCACCCACAAAGCTTGTGCTGAATCGACCCCTAATGCGTCTAGCATCGGTTCATTGAAGAAAAACCTGGCCAAAACGCAGGGCATTAGTGACAGGTTAAGGTACTTAGGGAGGGTATGCATATATATATATATCTAAGTATAGTCCTTTATGAATTAGTTAAAGCAACATTATGTAACACCCCCGATTTACTAACTATTAATCTTGCCTGCATCTAGGATGGTGCTCCAATCGGCTCATCCTAGTCATGCAAGCTGTGGGAATCAGCTTGCACACGCGTGAGAGGCATAGGTTTATTCTGGCTATGGAGCTGCCAGTATTGAACACTCCTAAAGCTCTAAGTTCTAACTACAAACTCATCCAATGTCTTACTAGACAGCTAGGCCCATGCACTGGAACTTTTACGTACTCTGTATGATTAATTAAGTGAGGCATCAGAGACTGATGTTAATGGAATAAGAAAAATTACGAGGTAACATGCTTGATTACATAAACCAAAATAATGCAAATGGAACTGAAGAATAAGCCTTAGTTAATGAGAAAAATTCTCTAGATTAAAGAAATATAAGTACTTAAATAGTGTTTAAAAAGTTTTACCTTTTTCAATGGTTGAGGAAAATCAAATCATTGAGAGTGCAGGTCTTGTAGCGTTCCCCTTGTATCTGGTAATGGAATAGCACTGTTTTGACATGTTCAATGATCCAAAAGTCTTGTCCTTCATCTGGAAGTAATTTATGGACAAATAACTTGGACACGTCGTAGAAACGAAGAGCTGAAAGGCTTCTTAGGTGATAGATGCCTTCAGGGACAGTGTTTAACCTTGGGATTGGACCAATTTTAAACAGCTCTAAAAGAGGAAGTGCTCCCTTCTCTATCGTCAGCTTTGTCAAAGTATTCATGTCGTAGAGCTTTAAAATCTTAAGTTTTTGAAAGCCTGTGGCCTGAAAAACCAGCTCTTCACCAAGAAATGAATCCTGGAGTACAAGCTCTGATAAGTGAGGCAGGTCCTGAAGGATGTTCACTGGGTCAGTCATTAGCCCTGACCACATTAAACTTACTGTAGCGAGATACTTGAGCTTGGGAATCCAGTCAGGGACCTTTGCTAGCCGACCTTTTAAGTATAGGCGTTGAAGGTATTGGGGAGGGGATGAAATAAACTGTAGATCAAGCATTCCATCTTCTTCTGAACAAACTTCTAAGGACTCGAGGTGGGTCATCAAAGCTATGGACTCACAAAGGATTTTTCCATTATGAGTGGCCAGTTTGGTGATCCCCAACTTCCTCAATTGCTTCAATTTTCTCAACTCCCTGAATAGGGTCATCCCATCACTTGCCTCTACAAGGTATAGCTTCTGCAGATTTTGTAGACGACCTAACCCGTGCTTCAGCTTTAATCCTTTCTGAGCACTTACACTAAAATCAGTTTCATAATCATAGTTGTATCCGATGAGATACAACAGATTTATCAAGTACTTCACTTCTTCTGGTAGCTCATGCACAAGGGAGCATTTGACATCCAAAGTCTGTAGGTTATGTAGCTTACCTATAGACTTTGGAAGCTCTTTTGTCTTCGTGTGCCTTACACTTAGATATCTCAAATGAAACAGATCTCCAATATTTTCAGGAAGAAAATTTATGGGGGCTTCTTGCAGATCTAGAACTTTCAAAAGCCTGAAAGCTTCCATTATTGCACACAGTGTGGAATGTGACAGGCTGTCCGCATCATAAAATGAGAGCGAACGTGTCTCAAATTTACCACTGCTCTTCAAATTACAATCTTTAGTGCATCTGTGGATTGATACTCTCCGTGTAAACTCATAACAGCTTGAGCTATTTTCTGTCCATACATGACCATAACTCAAATCCTCGGACTTTGAGAGGATGATTTCACGCATCAAATCATGGACTCTGACTTTTCTGACTTTCCCATCAATATCTATTTCTGAGACTTGAACCAAGCTTCTGTTTATAAGCTCTGTCAGGTATTCTGTTGCAACCTGTTCTGCTGATTTTCCTTTTCCTTTTTTTTCTTTCACAAAACCCTCTGCAACCCATAGGCGAATGAGTCGTGCGTGTCTGATGGAGTAATCCTCAGGCAGCAAACCAAAGTACATCAGACACAGCTTAAGATAGTATGGAAGGTCATAGTAGCTGAGAGACAAAATTCGTTTCATATTTGAGAAGTGAGGATTTGACCGAACTTCAGAGCCAAGATTTTTTTCAAGCTCCTTCAACTCAGTTACAACTTTTCTCTTAGTCGACATCATTCCTGCAGCTGCAACTATTGCCAGTGGTAAGCCTTCACATCTTTTGACTATGCTGCGCGACAACTCCACCAGTTCTGATGGCAAACTGCCACCCTCCTCTATATCAGAATAAAATACCTTCTTGCAAAACAGCTCTAAGCCTTTCTCCTCAGGTAACGATTGTAGCTTGTATATTTGGTCAAGCAATGATTCTTTGCAGGTAGAAGCAACACCATCAGAACGTGTTGTGATCAACACCCTGCTGCCTTGGCTGTTATCAGGCAAAGCATGGCGTATGATTGTCCAAAATTCTACTGCCCAGACGTCATCAAAAACAACCATGTACCTCTTTTGTTTCAAATATTCCCGAAGCTCAAAGATGAGTAGAGTCTCATCCATTCCATCAAGTTCTGGAGGAGCAGACTCTTTCCTTGACTTGTAGAAATGCTTGAGAGTTTTCCTTAGAAGTTCCTCAACCTTGAATGACTGTGAAACTGTAATCCAAGCGTGATTGCTGAAGTGGTTTGTCACAGTCTGTGAGTCATAAACTTTCCTGGCAAGAGTTGTCTTGCCTAGCCCACCCATGCCCACAACAGATATAACCGTGCGTTTAGATCCTCCATTGACTAACCAGTCAATCAATCTATCTCTGTGGGGCTCGATTCCCACGACCTCAGCCTCCTCGATGAATAATGAAGTGATACGAGGGTCATGCCATGATCCATCGCGTCTGCTGCTTCCTCCTACTACCGACGAGGAGGAGCTGAAGCCGTAACTCTGACCCCTTTCTTTGATAACTCGGATACTCTCTTTAACCTGAATAATCTCTTGTGCAATTTGATGTCGAGATTTTAGTTTGAGAATCCAGCACATGGCCCTTTCAAGAGAGCCAAGTATCTTAGGACGACAATGGTGAGACTGTGCTTCAGCTGCCATGTGCATCACATAAGTGTCTGTGACATCCTCTATTTGATAAGCTGCCTCTCGGAGACTTTTCACCCACGAACTTGCACCGTTAGCCTCTTCTTGTTCTGCCTTCTCGTCTGCATCTTTGATGAAGGATTGAATGCTTTTCAGCTCTTCAATGATCTGCTCAACTTCTCCGCCGACTCCTCTCAATAGCTTTGCTTCACTAGCAATCCAGGGGACTACGTTGTCAATGACAAGGCCCAAGACAGCCTCTGCCATCTTCTGATAAACACACCTTTGTTCATTCAACTGTTATATGATATGCCACATGTTTTCATAAATGCAGAAGACTTTTTTTTTTTTCCTGTCAATTAATGCTCTTAACTGGTATATGCTATGCTTTCATATATTATATCTGGCTGAAAACAACCTCAGTAATATCAAATACACCAGTTAGCTGGTGACGGGGCGGCACATGATGTAGGATGGTGTGTATCCTTAATAACATTAATATAAAATGTCTTATGATGCGCTTAGGGGAAAGAAAAAAAAAAAAAAAAAACAAGAAGTCTTCTCAATTATAAAATCTAATCGACTTTGCTTTCATAATAATAAGTTACCAATAAAAAATTACTCCCATTATAATGAATACATAGTATTATACTCTGTAGTTATTATTAATACGATCTTCATTATTAATACCGCCGTTGACCTTCATCTTGCCAGTAATTGCTAGTCAGAGAAACATAAAAAATGGACATTTTCTTATTTGAAGTAGCGCATAATGGTTGAACATGATTGTTGTATGTACAACTGTACAAGGAATATTATCCTAATTCCTCTAGATAAGCCCTATAGAGTAATAAATAAAAAGCGTAAAATGTTGGTGAATAGAACATACCCTTTGTTTAATTTCTTAATTTTTTGAGCTCGAGGAGATGCTTGCATCTTGACAGCTTGGTTTTGGTTGAAGAGGAAGAACTTGAGAGTTCGCCAGACCAATTTGGATAGTCTCCCAAAGACAAATTTGCGAGCAAGATATCTTGGTTTTGTATTGTGATACGGATTACTCCGTCTTACATAATACTTGGAGTACCTTGCACAAACTCTGTTTTGAGTAACAGGGTAAACTGTAGTGCAACTTCATTTGTATTACCAGGACAGTTTTGCAACTGGGGAGACTTTGGTGTCTATATTGGTACTGCAGAGTGCGCAAGTTTTAATTCCTCTTTTGTTTGGTGATATTATTATTACGTAGTACTCTGTCGACCGATAAAAGATGACAATACATGTGATTTTTTACCAAGAAAGACCTAAAGAACTAATGACAGCTACATCATGAGAACACCTGCGATATGATAAGATTGCTATCAAGATTACAAGAGTATGTTTCAAATAAACTTGCTCAATTGACATATATATATATATATCATGGTACAAAGCACCCGGTGATGGGTGTTGATCGTGTAGTTGAGTTGACTGGTTAACAACGGTGTTAGTTTGGTTTATTTTCCCAAATTCAGTTAAAATCAACGGATCCATACGACAAAAAAAATTGCTATGATAATAAAATTACTCAACAAATCAAGCATTTAAATGACCAAATCAATATACTTTATGATAATCAAAAGAATATTATTATTAATTATAAGCTTTGAATGTTTAATCCAATTGGGTTATTGGGTATTGTACTTATCCTACTTTACAATTTTGCTCGATCATGAATCTAAAACCAGGATCAGTGAAAGGAGGAGTAGAAAAGACGGTGTTTGAACAATCGTCACTCAGCCTATTTATTGCATCACAACAATCACTAGCTATTAGGGCCTTCTTCGCTCTTGCCGACATCTTGAGCCGTTCACAACACCCTGGAACGTGCATCATATCAGCCCAACACTCTGTAGCTACCGTGCATGCACCTTGTTGTGGAGGTGGTGCTTCGCCGTCGTCGTGCACAACCCATTTTGCTGATCCCATGTTCCATATCAACGCTATGGTCATCACCATTAATAGCTTCTTCATCATTATTCTAATGATTTTATGTTTCTATGTAACAAAATTTTTTGACTAGTCTAGCTAAAGCCTTTATTTGATTTTTTTTACTAGCTTGTTGATCGAAATGTAATGTGGTTAGTATTATATATCTAAACAAACTTTACGTATAAGGTATAAAATTAATGAAATCATGATTTAAAGAAATCAGGATTATATAAATCATGATTTACAGAAATCAGGATTATATAAATCAGGATTATATAGAAATGAAATCCTTAGGTTTTCTCTGTTCACATTGCTTTAGTGAGAGAAATCAATGCGTTATTATTTTTTTTTTTTATGGGAATTGAGCTTAGGTCTGTTTTCAGAGTGCCTAAAGCCCATCTTAATAGTGCTCGTATTAGTTGTTATGGACCCAGGCTGGACCTCTACCCAAATCCCACCAAAAAAATGCCATAAAATGAGTGGGCCGTGGGCTACTGGGCTGTTCTGTTATGGATCCAGGCTGGGATCAACCTCAGAAATCCGATTTTATGCAATATATTTCCTCCTTTTTAAAATATTGCACCACTTGCTTTTTGAGAAAGTTTCACAAATATTACACTATATCTATTTTAGGAAAACAAATATTTGTATTCACACTATAAACACCTTATACTTCATATATTCTTACTTTTTAGCACTTATTCATTAATTTATGTTTACAATCACATGGACAATTTTGTATTTTTACTTTTCTCTCTCTTCCTTTTTCCCACTACTAATAAAAGAAAATTTAACATAAATAGACAAATCTTTGGGCGGTTCTCCCATGTTGGACTAACCTTTAAATCTGCCTATATTAGACACAAGTAAAACATTTTTCTCCCAAAATGGACCAAATAGGTTACCTTACCTGTTATACCAGGTAAAATTCCACTTGTCATTAAATCGTTGGTGAAGTTTTTTTTTTTTTTTAATTTTTAAATTTTGATAATTTTTACAAAAAAATAAATAAAACAACCAAAACCACCCTTCCCGCCACAGCAAGCCCCCTCCCCTACCAGCGGCCAACCGATTCCCTCGACGTTGGCGACCTTCAACGCCGTCGGGATTATCGCCACCTACACCTTAATCTTCACCACCACCACTTCCACCCACTACACCACGAGCAACAGTCACCACAGAAACCACTATACTAACAACTAAAACCATCGAAATCACCATACCTACCAACCAAACCACCACATACCAACCCACCAAAACCATCCAAAAACTCATACTCGAAACCTGCCATAACCATCCTTTCACCACCACCACCAAGATCCAAACGCGTCCACACCGCGAAGCTGCCCCACACCACCCCATAAACACCACCACATACACTTTTCCTCCAAAATCATTCCATCTTCCATTAATTTCTCAATCTTCCAATTCTTCTTTCTTTCTACATCAATTTCTCACCTTTTTTTTCGGTTTAGGGGTTTCATGGGGAGCAGGGTGTGGTTGGAAAATGCAGTGGGAGGAGATGGTCAAAAATGGGAGGTGAAGGGGGAGGGGGAGCGGTGGCTGGAAAGGGAGGAGAGGTGGAGGAGGGGGTGGTTGGCAGTGGGGTGAGGGAAAAGTGTTTTTTTTTTTAAAATTGTATTTTTTTTTAATTTGAAAAAATGATTAAAGGTTTTTAATTTAAAAAAAAATTCAAAGAAAATTAAAAAAATGACCGGTTGTATAGGTCACTGGTCATTTGGGTTCATTTTGGGAGAAAAATATTAAACTTGTGTATAATATGGGTAGATTTAAAGGTTAGTCTAATATGGGAGAACCGCCCAAAGATTTGTCTGTTTATGTTAAATTTTTCAAAAATTTATGCTCAACTCTTATGGTGCAATATTAAAAAAATAGAGTAAGTATCAAGCTTGCCAAAATATTTTATTATAATAAGCATTTAAATACTAGGAAAAGGGAAATTGTATTATTTATATACTCAGTACCTCATATATATTCACAAATCTTAATACTCTCTTTGTTTCATTTAATTTGTCTTATTTGATCTTGTTTGTAGTAGTTTTTTGGGTCAAACAAGTAAAAAATGGACAGCAAATACAGGAAAGCAAACAAACTTTTGAGAAATAAATCTAGTTAATGTTTGAGTTATAATATTATTCAATCATACTGAATTGAAATAATCCAAAAGGAAATAAACCACAAAATTATTTCCATATCCAACAAATTATTTTGAAATTGTAGAACATTGAATACAAATTTTGACTTAAATTTCAAAATAATTCAAAGAAAATAAGAAAAGAGGTTTGACTCAAAATTGTACCAAAATTGACCTATACCAAACTTGAAACTTGAATTTAGCTAACAAAAAAAAAAAAAAAAAATAAAAAAATCAATTTGATTCAACCAATTAATAACTTTACCATTTACTTAGAATTAAGTAAAAAAAAAATCGAATGATGAAAGAATGAAGAAGATGATAAAAGGAAGATGGTTAAGTTAAATTTGCACATAAACATGTGGTTTCATGTGGGGAGCAAAGAATGACTAAATTAAGTTAAGTAGTTGTCAATTAATCAAAGTAATTAATTTAAGGGCAAAGTCCAAAATCTTTCAATCACCTTAATTAAATCACACAAATCAAGCAACAAACAGTATATAACATGCATGCACTTGCGTACACAAACTCGATTGGTTCTTTAAGATGTTGACATATCAACTAACATTATTATTGAAGTATTGTAAATAAATAATATTTTAAACTAATAATTATAAAGTTAATTTTTATTTTGTTTTGTGGTTGTATGAGTTTTGCATTGATCTAAGACGAACAAAAAGTTGGAACTTACAAGTATGTGGGTACTTTTCCATATATATGTTAGTTTCTTCGTGCTTTTCCTCTTTCTACGCACGTTTAGTCGTTTGCTAAGGACTACAAGTACTTACATCATTATAATGCTATTATGCCTTGGACAAGTACAAATGTACAATGATAACAAAGAGGTTAAAGAGGTACCTAAACTAATTTACAGCTCACACAATAACCCGACCTAAATGAAAAAAAAAATTTGAGAGATTGTGACATGAACACAAATCAATCAGAACTTGGCCTGATTGAGTTAATTACGTATTTGTCATATTTATGAAAACTATCATGTATTTATATACAAACCTTGAACGTAGTAAATATTTTGTGAACAATCGAAAATCAAAATCAAACATGCATGATGAATACGACCTCGTGCATTTACCATACATAGCTTAAAAGTTAAATGAGTAATAATCTTGAATAGTAATAGTGTAATACACATCTTAAATTTGTTTCTGACCCCATTGGAACTCTGTTGCACCTATTTGCATTCATGCTATTGCATATTTGCATGTAGAGTAAGTGAGATCTTAGATCTGTGGCCATATATAAGCGTTAAGCATTCGATTATGAGTATATGACAGCTTTGATGCATACAAAATTAGCTTCTATACAGCTGGTAGTATAAATTAACCCAGAGTTCTTGCCTAATATTTAAAAAAACATAGGTTGCTAGTTGCTACTCATATATCCTTGTCATCTTCATTTATAAGGTTAACTTAGGTCATACCTCTTTTGTTTCTTTATTTTATTGACACAAATTGACTATGGACACTATTGACTTCTTTTTGCGATTTTTTTTTTTAAGGAAAATCATATAATCATATTGTTCTGTACTAGTCATATGGTTCCTGTCATATTGATTTCAATGTATATTATGTTTCTAAATATCAAGTTTTTACAATTTTTATTATTGATAATTAATTCTTTGTACAATTTAATATGTGAAGTTATGCATTGACAAACAAAAGAAGTGGTCAACTAAAACTAAATAAAATGTACTGCGTCAACTAAAACTATAATGAAACTAAATAATGAGATGATATAGGTTGTATAACTTAATACTCCATATTTAGATTTATATGTAGGAAGTGGGTTTTGGGTGGTCACATAAATAATAGGTCCTCAAAAAAATAATAGGTCCATAAATATTAGTAGCATGCCTTCTATAAAGTATGAAGAAAAGCTTGCAAGCAACAAAGACACCCACTTCTATGTTGTCATGTATACCCAATTTTGGTGATTTTTTTAAAAAAATAATACAGTATATAACAAGAACTTTTACTCAAGTTGACATATGAATATATAATCGATCTATTTTTAGATCCATACGCATTAGGTTAGTGGAATCATTTATCATCTCTACAATCGATTTTGTAATTGGGAGGTAAGCAAATGCGCATTATATATACATTTCAAAGTATTCCGCATTATTTTTTATTTCATTTTTCTGGTATAGAAATTATACTGTATAAGATTAATAAAAAAAGTCTTCTCTTAAGACTACAATCTAATTTATTAGAAGATAATATTATTATAAACACATGTAAAATCGATTAGCTAAGTATGTATGGTTGTAAATTGTACGTGATTGGCAACTTGTAACTCATATGTCCTCCAATTCATTTCATTGTATTTAAACACTTACTAATAAATTAATAATTAATTCGTTCTGTTAATTATTTATCTAACTATTCGGTTTTACTCGTATTTTAAAAGAAATGCATACATAATTAATTCGTTCTATTAATTATTTATCTAACTATTCGGTTTTACTCGTATTTTAAAAGAAATGCATACATAATTAATTCGTTCTATTAATTATTTATCTAACTATTCGGTTTTACTCGTATTTTAAAAGAAATGCATACAAATACACTACGTACAATGTTTTAATCGGATTATTCAATTAGCTTAATATATGGAGTACATTGTTTTAATCAGATTACTCGTTTAACCTAATATATGGAGTATTTTTTTTTTTTTTCAATTATTAAATATTTATACATATTAGAACTGAGGCATGATATGCGTAAATGGCAGTATCTATCTCTGAGGTTAAGTTATGATGCAATTGACAAGTTTAGTGGCGTAACTCTGAAAGCAACCAATACTACAAGATAATTAAAAGTACTCCTTGAAAATGAAGTTAACTTGATATTGTTCTGAAGTTGACATTAATAATACCAAACTACCAAAGAGAAGGTTGATCAAGTTTGTAAGTTGTAACAACGTCCATTGTTATGTAGACATGTAGTCATTTAAACCACATCTATAGTAGGCTACCCAAATTAATCACGACTAGTCTCTTTATTGAATGCTTTAACAAATTTAATTTCTTATTAAGAAGCACAACGGACAAGTTTACAAGAATGCTTGTGTCGATTTACAATTGTTTTAGCTAGTTGTTTAATTATGCTTAAATCAGTTAGCTCTTTTTGAACAACCACCACGTGCCAGGGATTACAATTTCCTTCAAACTTAATTGAAATACTTGGTATTATTTTTTTGTTGATTTCGTTAATTTTTCTTGTGTTTGTCATGACTACATGGTTTTTAGTTGCTTGATTGCTTAATTCCATGTACTATTAATTAAGAAAACTTAGCTTAAAAACATAATAAATTAAGCAAAAATTATCATAGTACCATTTGACTGATGGACTAAACTTTTGTAGTTGATGTGGTCCAGTTATTTTGCAGGGAAATTGTTAACAGAGGTACTCGTAGAATGGTAGATAATGTACTTTTCTGAAAGATAAATACAAGTGGGAACTTGAATATTCTTATCCCTGTAAATTTTTCAGTTGATGATTAGTACTCCTATTATCATCCAGTAAAAACAATTAAAAGAAAAAGACAAAGAATTAAAAATACTCACTATAACTGTGTGGAATCTTTTATCTCTATGATCAAAGTTTGTTTTCACGTCAAGTCATTTAATTCCCCAAATTATATCACTTCTTAACTTTATGTCATGTGATATTTTAATTCAGCAAAAAAAATTGCTAGGATCCTAGGTAATATGGGCCATCAACCTAGAGTAGGTTACTAGATGCATGCTGAAAATAACTTCATCCATTTTAATGCTTGTTTACAGTTTATAATACATACGGTCATACGGTTTACTTCATTCATTATAGAGTATATATGAGCAACCTTTTTTTCAACTTCATCAAAAAAAATAATAAAAAATACTACTTATAATTAAAATTATGGATTTTTTTTTTTTTAAAAACAATACATCGATAAAATTGTACAAAAAAAATCCTAACATGAGTTTTTTTTTTTTTTTTTTTTTTTTTTTTTTTTTTTTGTACATTTATATCAATGAATAATCATGGTTGAAATTTTCTCTCTTCATATGAAATATTCCAAAAGAAACAAACATAAAGAAATATGGTTAATATAGATAAAGATAAAATGGATCAACTAACAGCTAATACGGATAAATAGTAAAATATTTGACATCTACTCCAACTAATGCCTAACAATCGTTACTAGTTGTGGAGGTAACTAATATCCATTCTACTAACTGTTAATGGTTAGAGTGCAATTATTTAATCATCAAATAGAAACAATTAGCCATTTTTTAATGCAAATAAAATATTTTTTATGGAACAGCACTGAAAACACACAACTGCACAAGTGATTATCTTCTAATCTTTAAGATTATAATATTTAACAAGATCCTGTAGTTAGTAATTAAATTAGTACCTTTCTAAAAAAAAAGTAATTAAATTAGCATTATAATATAGAATGTTGGAACTTTTAGTAGCCGAATTTGTTTAAGATTAAAAAGAGATTAGATTTGATGGGGTTGTTTGACTTTTCCAAGCCAAAAGGAGTGACATATACTCAAATCTACCAGATTGGCGGCCCCCAGTTTCCCATGTGACCTTCTAGTGCTCCACTTGTTTATGGTTTACGAGTGGTGCTAGTGCAATCAACCCAACAAGTCCTACCAATATTTGAACGTGTGAGTGTCTCCCTTACTATTTTTTTACCATCGAAAATGTGCCAATTTTTTATCGACTCAAAATGAAAAATGGGAAAATTTTTAAGGGACGGACAGGAAACATTCAAAGGAGGGTTTTGTTTGTGTAAAGACATTGCGTGACGGAATATGCAGGGAGAGGCAATTTTACGTGGAAATGACTAATATTATATAATCACAATAACCACTTAGCGTTTGGAAGGAATGCCTTTCCATTCTCATATGATGAATTGATTGAACCTTTTTGTTAGATCCTAAATTTTAGGCATTAGTAACAACTTTGTTTCATGCATTAAGCTATCAAAAAAGTTTCACTTAATGCAACTACATTCTAGAGATGAGCTAAACCCCTTGCTCGATGATTGCCCCTGGACCATATAACAATCGGCATTGATCAGTAAACGAACTGACCAATCGAGATACCACCTTCCGGAAGAACATTGATGCCACCTGCACAGAGGAAGCCATCATCCACGTGAGGGAGTAAACAGCATGTATACATCTAATCAAATAATACAGTGACATATAAGTTAAACTGCAGAACAGCAGAGGACTCTTGTTATACTCTGTAGTTAAGATGTTTCATATTCTACTTACTCTTAAAGCTAAAATGAGGTAGATTATAAGTTTGGCACAGGACCAAAACATAGAAGGTGCGTTACCTGCCGGTAAAGTGGTGAACCGAAGTTGAAATCAACCAAAAAGTAAAGGTTACAGGTTTCCGGAGTTGGTCCTGGTCTTAATTCCCATATGTTGATCAAGTGTTCAAAAAGGTTGCTTTCAGATGCAGTGGTCTGACTCATTAACAAAAGTAGAGATACAAGTACCTACTTTTATTAGTCAAAAGGCAACAAAGTCTTCATTTAAAAGGATTACAAGTTTACAACTATCTAAACCTAATACGAGTACCTAACAATTTAAGCCATGAAAAAACAAAATTCTCGCAAGGAATATATTGATTAATGACACAAAGAGGACCAAGTTGCTTGCATTTATTTTCCCTTGAAAATGAGAGCTAAATTACTTTTCTCCCTCATTCATACATAACGTTTGGAGCCTTCAATTTGGTCTGACGAGCATTTTTATCCTATGTCACTGAACCCTTTTCTTTCAAACATTAAGAACGGAGTATAAATTAAATTTAAGCTTGGGTAGGAAGTGTTGGTGATTCAAGCAATAACTACATTTTTCAAAGAAAAATAAATCATTAGACAACAACCCCCCGTCTAATACCCCACTCCCCAATATGTTCTCTTAGAAGCAACCCTTCTTAAAACTCCTTACTACATTTGTCCATGGCCTACCTTACATGTAGTGTCGTAGATAGTGAACAAAAATTCTCTTAGAAGCAACAATTCTTAAATTCCTTAATACCACGGCTTTACATGCAGTGTCATAGATAGTGAACAAAAAAAGGTAAGTCGAAGCATGAAGCTATTCAAATCCAACTAACTCACGCGCATGCAAATTCCCAACTTGCCAAGGCTTTATCCTTCAATGGCTCAATTAGACTATCAAGTATGCTGCAGTTAATTAATATGCTAAGTTGTGAAACAAATTGATATGAGTTCAAGCCTAATAATGAATAGTTTTGAGCCTCTTTTACTCGTAAAACTTTTTTCAAATACCATCACATAAATGAAACACGTCATCCATTTTGGTAATCGTTGCTGGACGACACTAGGAGTCTACTAGGACTGCATATATAGACTGATTACAAAATGTATAAAATCGAATCTTTTAGGATGCATGTACAATTGCATTTTCACTGTCAGTTAATCATAACAAAATCAGACAAGATTATGAATATATTGATGTTTGATGCAGTGAAAATCTTACCTTATAAACTTTGGCTTGTCTAAAACCACATGTGAAATGTAACTCTCAACCAGAAATCTAAAACCAATCTCTAATTCCGCATCAAATGATCCATCAGGATTGCGCCGAACAATTTCTGATCTTTGACACCAAGGTAAAATATCGTCATACAAATCTACAGCTGCAACAACATCAAACAGCTATTCAGGGGAATACCTGTTTATAAAGAAAATTTTAAGTCTCATGCTTCATCCCTCCAAACATCATAGAGTTGTTTAGACATTATGCAAATCACCTATGATAGGAAATGCTTCGGTCTTAGAAGTAAGCTTTCTGCACATAAATTACTGTCGTTACTGAACAGTTGTCAATATTTCAGTTTCTTGATCCAAAATAAGAGCTAAAATATGGGCAATGAAATAGAACTAGGCCAGGGGAGACACTAGTGAACGATTTATAACAAAGTCACAAGTTTCATGCATTACCAAGCTCTAAATTTTACTCCATAAATGTTTTTCACCTTCTAATTGATCTTAACATCTACTAATTATCACAACCTTCATTATCAACTCAACCCAATTATTCAGAAAAATACATATCATCTTAACCAACATGCAAAATTTTAACATTCTTAACAAGAAGACTTAATTCATCAGGTTGGCATCATCTTATTCCTCTTTAACATATCGTACAACAAATTTCAACCAAATTATTGCATCAAAGCAAAATTAGATTGGGCATCTTCCAACTAATCTAAATTGCATTAAATCAGATTTAAAGTTCAGGAGAACTCACCCAATAACAAGTTTCTCTTCGTACATCTTAGATAAAGCATTTCCTTCTTGTCCATCTCCACAACCCAAGAACCACCTCCTCTGCAGTTTATCGTAAGAATTGAAAGAATTCCTAGAAGGATGAATTACATTCCTAGAAGAAAAGCTATCAATTCCAGCAATGCTGCTCAAACATCGAATTAGACAATAGTGTCCATGTCGAATGAATGGTTTAATAAAGTATTGTCACAACAAACAGCTCCTCCCAACAGCTCTAAATGCCGGTAAAAAAAGAGGCATCGGGATTGACTAAATCTGAACATGAATCCACAAACCAAAAAGGGGATAATCAGTGTCGTAATACGATCACATGCGTAACAATTACAGGGGAAGCATGATGAAAGATTAAGGAAAGGCTCAACAAGCAAACCCTAACTTCCCATTAGAGCATAGTTAGCAAATACGAATTATCTCGGAAAGTTAGGCCATTAATCCTCAACACCAAATCAATGATCAAGCATCACCAATACTAGCTTATTGAATTCCAATGAGACTGCAAATCCATTTTATATCATCATTTTACCTCCCAAACACATGTTCTATCACATTTATAATTTCTACATAATCATTAACCTTAACCTGAACAATTCAATGGTCAATTATATAAATCTTTAATCACAATTATACAATCCAATGCGCTTAGATCTTGTAACAATAACTACTCATTTAGCAGAATTCCAATCTTCCACTGAATTAACACAAACACTACAAAATTTCACTCACCATTGTTTCAAAACGAAACTAAATTCTATGAATTAGTAAAATATCAGTTAGAACATGGATTACTCACTAAAAACCCTGAATTAATCATCAAAAAAAAACTGTATTAAGTTGATTCACATGTCAAATAATATCAAAATTAAGGTAACCCTAGGAGAGAGAAAGACGATGACGTGGCAGTGGCCGGCGTAGTCTCCGGTTGGTGGCACGGTGACGACAGCGACGCTAGTGAGAGATTAAAGAGGTGAACGAGAGAGAGCTAGTGTATAGGAGGTGAGGGGGATTATTTTCACCAAAAAAAACAGGAGGTGATGGGGAAGTCGGGTGTGTCTAGTGTCTACAGACATCTAGACAATTCAAACTGATCCATCCTTGATTACCCGATCCGAGCTGTAATCATCAAGTATTTTCCGAGCAGGTATTTGTATACGTATTGTGGTTTATGATCCTATTTAATATGGAGTAATTGATTTCAATCATTGTAGCCATTATTATTTTTTGTTTATAATGGTTCAAAATCATCAAATTGTCAAAGTTATTTGGCAATAAAATTTAAAATGTCTACCATGTGGAAATTAACATAAGTTTTTTCACTTATTTAAACATAATTGAACTTATTAAAATTTCTTTTAGTTGTGATTTGTACTTTGGCAGTCTTTATCAAAGACTTATCTAAACTTGTTAGATTTGAAAAAGTGAAAATAAGGTGAACATAATAGACTCTAAATATGTGTTCTATTCACCTGATTTCACAAATTTGAACTTATCTTATTTTATCTAGACTTATGTGAACTTACTTAAACTTATCATAACTTATTAGAATTTATGAACATTGCAACTTATTTCAATTGTAATTTGAACTTAGATAACCCCTATCAAATTAAAACTTAATTTTATGAATTGAACATATTAGATCTAAAATAAATGAACATAAGGTGAATAGGTGAACAGAACAGGCCTAAAGAGATTAGGGCCTAGTTTTGTGGAATTTTGATTGTATTTTTATTTTTTTAGAAAAATTGTTCAAAATCATAAGGATATCAAATTTATTTGGTGAAAATGACATAATGTTAAGCATTAATATTATATTAATCAAAACGAACGTAATAAAATTTCGCATAATTATATTTTTCCTTATAATCTATGTGATATATGTGAATACTGAATAGTGCCTAAAATACAAATAAGATTAGTACATAATATGTTTTTTCAATTGATTTTTTTAAGTAATAAATCAAGAGAACATATTATTTCAGAAAGATTTAAAACCCATGATTTTTTCTTAAAAGATAAAAAAAAAAGCATAATATCATAGAGTTTATTATGATATCCACACTTCACTTATTTGGATAAATAATTACTAAAACAAATTATTGATTCTATCCATCCAAAGATTATTAGCAAAACAATGATATTTTATATGAAGATAATTTCCTTTTTTAAAAAATCTTAAATTCATAAGATTATAGGAGCATTAATTATGCAAGAAAATATTCCAATTACCTTATTTTTTTTTATCTTTCTTTTTCCAACAATTGGATAGATATTGACATCATCAAAATTGTTTTTATTGCTAAAAAGCCCCTATTCCCTCCAACCTCCCCCCTTATTTCCTACTTTTCCCTTTCACCCTTTTTTCACATTGATTTCATGGCCCCTCTAACTCTACTATTTAAAAAATTAAATAAAATAATTAAAAAATCCCCCAAAAATTAATTTAAAATAAAAATAAATAAAAAATCAAACTACAATATCCAAATCACCAGTTAACTGAAATTGAGGTACGCACTGCTGTAAAAAATCCAAAAAAATTAATATAACTTTTAATTGAATTTGATTAAACATTAACTGATAATTTAAAAAATAAAAAGAAAAAAGAGAAAGAAAAACAGAGTGTATAATTAAGAATTAACAGCGTAAAATAGTCAAATACAAAACCGACGTCTCCTTTGTTATTACTTCTTCCTCTTCTCCTTATTTATTTCATCACCCATCACTTTCTCTCTCCTCTCTTTCCCACCGCGTCGCACTTTCTCTCTCCTGATTTTCTCTCTCTATGATCCAAACCCAAAAATTCATTTTCTCTTCAATTTCACTCAACAATGCTGAAGCTCTTTCGTTGATTTTCTGCTAAAATACTTAATAATTCTCAAGATTTCGGCGTTTTTGTGAGTTAATTTTGAACTTCACATTGCACTTTTTAATTGATTCAATTCAATTCATACTTGTTGATTTGCGTGATTTTCACTGAGGATCTGTGGTTGAATTTGCGTTGTTTCTGATTTTTGAATTGAGTTTTATTGGTGATCTGTTTTGTGATCTGATCGAATTTTATTTTGTGAATTGGAGAAAATTTGTTGTGTGAGAGTTTGTTTTTGATTTTTGAATTTTTTTTGTTGTTGATAATGACGGTTGATACCGTTGTTAATGGTGAAGGAGAGAAGTGTGGATTAGATATGAGGAGTTCTTCGTGTGAGGATCTGCCGCCGGCGAGTGTCGGTGATGGTGGTTGTGAGTGTAATGGTGATAGTAAGGATGATTATGTGTTTATTAATGGTAGCGATGCCGTTTCGGATGATCATGTTGTAGTTGAGGGTGATGGGGAGCTGAATGTGTCTGAATCGAATGCTGTTGATTTTGATAGGAAAGTGGAAAGTGGTGTTGATGGGAGTGATCAATTGGAAAATTGTAATGTTTCCGAGGGTAAATTAGACAATGTGGGTGTGGTAAATGGCGGTGAATCGAAGAGTGAGAATGGGATCATTGTAGATGAGGAAAGAAACTGCGAATCGGGTGGTGCAGAGTTGGAAGAAGAGATCAAGTTAAAGAGTGAGGGTTTAGTTGAGAGTGGTGATAGTAATGCTATTGAGGGAAAGGTTGATGTTAGGGTTAGAGATTTGGAAGTTTCGGAGGAGAGAAATCCAAAGTCTGTGATGGATGAGGTTGAGGATATGGAATCGGATGTTGAGAAGGGGGATAATGCCAATGTATTACCTTCGTTAGATGATGATGATAAAACACATATTTTGCCGAATGTAGATAGTGGTTCTGATATTGTGCAGAATGGAACTGCAGTCATAGAGGCTGAGCCTCAGGTACCTCACAGTGAAATCGAGGAGCAACAGCATGATATTGTGCAGAATGGGACTACAGTCGTGGAGGCTGAGCCTCAGGCACCTCACAGTGAAATCGAGGAGCAACAGCATGATATTGTGCAGAATGGGACTACAGTCGTAGAGGCTGAGCCTCAGATACCTCACAGTGAAATCGAGGAGCAACTGCACCTTGGACAATCTGAGGAACATGAGATTCATGCCAATGAACCTGAGAAACTGAAGGATGATGTAAGGAATCTGGAGGTGGCCAAGGATAATGGTATTTCTCATATAGATGAGGTCACAGAATCCGAGCCAGTCGATGGTATCATAACGGAAACAGAATCTCTCGAGGCAGATACTGTTCATCAGTCTCATCCGCAAGAGGACAGTGCAGAAGTAGATACACAAACACCTAATGGTGATGTTAAGGCTCCAGATAGTGAGGCTGGCGAATTGTTGCTGGATGATGAAATCACTGAGGAGCAGTCTGCAGACTGTCAGCAGCAAGATTTGCAACCTGCTGACAGTAATGAACTAGATCTAGACAAAGCTGACGTTGAGGTTAAGGAACACAGTGATTTAGATCTAACAGGGATGAGTGGAAGCCAGAGCCTTAACTCTGTAGACTCAGAAGCTGCTGTATGTGAGCAGCAGCTGAGTGATTATAGTGAGTGTAAGGATCAAGATGCTTCAACCTTGACCACAGAATCAAAAGATTGTCAGGAGTCTCAAGCTGTTCTTGATCAATCTGAAGGAGAAGTGAATCAAAGCAATTTAGAGTTGTCTGCCTCAGAGGTGAATGGTCCAGTACTAAACAGTTCTATCCCATGTGAGGAAACCACGGTAGAATCAACGCCAGATGTTGAAGGGTCTCTTGAAACTTCAATAGTAGATATACAGCCTGAACAATCTCATACGCCTGTAAATGACCATGAGCAGGATAGTGTTCATGGAGAAAGAAATGCAGAGTTGATTGATTCAGTGGCAGGAGGCTTAGAATCTTCAGTTCAAGAGGTTTTTCCTGAAGATCAGGTGGCAGAAGAGACTGGGTTGGTAGATGTTAATGACAAGGAAATTTCTTCAGAGGATGTTAGCTTTGAAAAAACCGTAACTGATGAAGCAACTAATCCTGTTGAACCAAAGTCTGCCACTGAGGCAGCCATAGATGAGGAAGGCCATGATCTAGATTTTAGCCATATCGGAGATGGTATTTCAGAGAATGAAGCCAATATTCCCAACTCTTCTCATGATGCTGAAAGTTGTTTGAGACATGAAAATAATGAGTTGACTGTACCTGTTGGTGATGAGGTGGACTTGCTTGTTCCTTGTGACTCAGACATAACAGAGGAACAGGGAAGTGTTGATGATGGCTCTTATGCTGTTGATAACTGCATTAGCTGCTCTGCTGATGACTCCAGTTCCCAACCCAAATTGGAAGACACCAATGATTCCCTTCCCTACCTTGTTAATGGTACCAAATTGGAAGTTGAACCCGTGAATGCTGAGGTTGATGGTGCAAGCAAGATAAATTCTGATTCTGAGGACACTTTGAAGCCAAAGATCAGTTTTGGTTCCTTTGAATGCGTAACACCTTTTTCACTCAATGATAATAATAACATCCACACTGACATACTGAATAGATCAACTGAAACAGTTACCAGACATTCAGATTTTGCCGGTGATGGTTTCACTTCACTGAACTCTGAGGCCAATGGGGTTTGTTCTACTGAGTTGAACCATGATAAAACGTGTGCTGGAGTTGTGAGTCCAGAGCAGAATAATGTGGACAAGGTTTCGATATCTAACCTTGAAGAATCTGGCACTGATTCTGTGGATGGACAAAATGTAAATCCTGATTTGGTTAGAAGGCCATTTTACTACTTGATCAGGCTCCCAAGATTTGATGATGTGAAGCTTAATGAGGAGGTTAAACTAAGTGAGATGGAAGTTCACGAGAAGACACGAAATAGAGATGTCGTTCGGACTGAATATCAGAAGAGAAAGGTGAAACATACTGGAACATAAGAACTTTGCTTGATCTTATGTTCATTTTCTTTCCCCTCTGGGCTTCTTACCTATTCACAATTTGCTTCTTTGAACAGGCCATTCATTGGGATTATAAAACAAATTTTGAAGCCGCTAGATCTGAAGAGAGAGCTGCACATAAGTTGATGCTTGCCAAAAGGCGGGAAATAGACTCTGCCCAGTCTTTGATAAACCTAGCAAGGCATGCAACTACAGTTGAAGATGTTGATAGTCAGGTAGGCATTGCTTTCAGTATGATTTCTTAATCCTAAATGTTTTTGTGTATTCTTAACATTTGTTGACAAAGAAATTGTGTTCTGGGGTGTGGAAACAGATTCTTACTTTGGAACGCAAGATACAGCACGAAACCCTAAATTTGGCTGAAGAGAAAAAATTGGTACGTGATATTAAGCTATTGAACCTTCAGCGTGAACAACTGGCTGCTAACTCTCAGAGGCAGCAAGAATTACAGCAGGCTTTGGACCAGAGGGTTGAGACGGAGGAAAAATTGAAGGTAATATTGACTTCTAGTTTGTTTCCTCATCTATTTCTAAAATTTAGTTTATGCATTTGCCTAATTTATTTTGCTTGAAATACAGGTCTTCAGGAAAGAATGGGATGCTCTCAGAGACAATTATGCCAAAGCCGAAGACAATTTTAAAGCCGCTAAGAAGAAATATGAGGAAGAAAGTGCCGTGCTGAATGACATTAATGCTCGATTCAAATCTGCTGATAAAGTTCGACAAGATGCATATATACATTTTCAGACCCTAAAGAAACAGGCATATGAACAGGTTACTTTTCTTTATCTAAAGCTCTTTATTTATTTCTTTTTAAAATATTTTTTGGGATTGTAGCTAAATATTGTTGTGATTTAAGACAAGAGCAAAATAGTGGGCTTGACCCCAAATAGTGGGCAGCCCTAAGGGGTGAGGGGGGAATGATCCCCTCCATAAGACTCTAAAATTTAGAAACTGATGAGAGTATTAGAAATGTTGAAATATGATCTACCGTCATACTTTGTCTCTATGGAAAACCATAGTAGGATTGAATAATAATATTTGATCCCGTCCTAAACACCCTGCTACTGCGTGGATAGCAATTACTCAAATGTGTGGACTCTAATACTCTATGACCATGGTAAGAGGCATTAGCATTACAAGTTACTAATCAGTCGGCTGATGTTTTTTGACCAAGATTAGGCTTTCGTGCGTCAATTTGTTTACTACGTTTAAATCAACTGAATTGAGTTTGTTGGTAGAGTTGACCTTCAGTAATGGGTCTTGTGACTCCTGTCATTATTATCTGCTCTAAAGTATTTAAGGGCCTGCTCTTTCGTGCTGACCTTCAGCAATCTGTCACACTGCTTGTTGGCTTGTGTAATGCATTTTCCATCACTATTTTTCTCTGAAGGAACTCCCCTCTGAATCCAACACATTCTGCCTCAAGGCTTGGAGGGAAAGTGTGGCCAACACTTTAAACTAATCACATTGTGCAATCAGTTCACTGGCTAGTTACCTCTCTCTCCTATTAGTTAAGTGGAAACATGCCACGCCAAACCAAGTCCAAATGATTTTAAGAGATGTTATGTGAGCTAGGAGTTCAGTAATTTTATTATTTATTTATTTAATATTTTGGCTTCAGTGGTTATTGCTGTTTGTGTTTCAATTCAACAAATTCTGGGATGTTTGTAAAACTAAAATGTTGGAGAGATTTATTTTTAGCTATTTCTTTGATTATGTTCATGCATGTGTTATTGAGTCTTTAAGTTGGTGTTTTAAATGGCAGAACAAGCTTTTCTATGGTTACAAGGATGCTGCCAAAGCAGCCAATGAATATGCAGTGGCTGGTGAAAAAGAAAGGCTTGAACAGCATTGTGTAAACCAGGTGAGTAGAGCTGTTATACACTTATACTGCAACATGATGACAAGAAGCCATAGCTACATTTTACTATTTGGTTTCGTTTTTCTTTGACATGGCTATTGACTTAATTTTTATGTAGGTGGAGAACTTTATGGAACGATGGAATAACAATGACGAGTTTCGGAAGGAATATATTAAACGCAATATGAAGAGTACACTGAGGAGATTTAGAACACTGGATGGTCGATCACTTGGCCCTGATGAAGAGCCACCAACATTAGTAGATGTCCCTGATAATAGAGTAAATACCATGGCCAAAAATCCCAAGGTCAATTCGGTTGGGACAGTCCCAACCTTAGAAAGAGATTTTCCTTTAGTAGCAAAAAAAGTTGTAGAGGAGTCATCAAAGAAAGTAATAGAGCAGAAGAATAAGAATGCCCTTGCCAAAAAGAGGGTTGAAACGTCAAAGGTTAGCTTAGCAGAACCTTCTGGCAGAATAGAGACAGAAGAAAAGAAAGAAGAACAGAAACAATTGAAAAAGGAAGAAGAGCACAAACAGACTAAAGAGGAAGAAGAGTTGGCAAGGAAAGTGGAGCAAAAAAGAAAAGAAGAGGAGGCTGCCAGATTGAGGGAGCAGCGCAAATTAGAGGAAAAAGCTAAAGCTCAGGAAGCTCTGGAAAGGAAAAGAAGAATGGCAGAGAAAGCTCAAGCGAGGGCTGAATTTAGAGCCCGGAAGGAAGCTGAAGAAAAGGAAAAGGTTAATTTCACCCAGAAAATAAATACTTAAGATTAAGATATGTGATTATTACTTTTTTTTTTTTTTTTTTGTCAATTATTGTCTTCCTAAATGTTTTCATTTTTTGATTGGTGTAGGAGAAGGAGAAGAGGGCAAAGAAGAAAGGAAAGAAGAAGGGCCTTGCATCAGAGATTTCTGAAATAGAGCCTGCTCAGCTGCCAGAATCCTCACCTGATACAATCAGGGAGGCTGAAGTTACAGAAAAGCCCGTGACAGTGGCTAAGAAGTCCCATAAGCCTGCATTATATACAAAGCAGGTAAAGACAACTAAATCAATTTCTTCTCCTCCTGCCCCTCTCCGCAATCGGGGTAAGAGAAGGATACCGCAATGGGCATGGTGGTTAGTGGTAGTGGTATTAGCTGTTGCTCTTATATTCCCTTTGGGGAACATAGACATTCTTGGGTTCATCAAGCTTTTAGCTTCTGGCTCATCCCATTAGTATAATTATAAACATAGGTTTGAAAGTATTTTTTAAAATATTCAATTCTTGTTCATGTCTTGGTTTCTTTTCATCTCACTCACTTGCTGCCATTTGTATACTTGACCCTTAGATTGTTTGATGAAATTGTGATGGGAACAAAATTATACTATATATTGTATTGCATTTACTCTAATTTAATAAATCCAGTGATTATGCTGATATTGTTTTGTAATTCTGGACTTGTGGATATACATCAGCTTAATGTCTTAACTACTGTGTACCGAGTATTTGTTTTGGTTCAGTTCGAAACAAAGTGTCCCTCCTTCACTATTTCCTGTTTCTGTATTATACTCAGATTAATTGTTGCCCCGATGGGTTCATCTTGCTCTTTCTAAGAAATTGGGACATGGTTGTAGAGGATTTTTTTGAATGCTCATGAGTGGTTTAGCAAGGGTAGGATTTCTGGAAGGTTTAGATCATGCTCTTTTTTGCTTAGTTCCTTAACTGTCACGCTGACGGTTTTACACTGAGGCCTATAAGCTTGTGTAAAGCTGTAAGCTGGTTATGAAATTATTGTGCAGACTGAAATATTATCTCTTTCAATGAATATCACCATGTCAAAATCAAGGACTAAGGGTTCGAGTCCCAGATTATAACTTGTGATTGCTTCTGAGATTTTCATGTGGTAAGAGCTGGTGGTGTGTATTGGACATGCATCTTAAAGAGTCTTTGATCATTCGAGCGGAGTTTCATTGAAGTTTTGTCCTGATTCCATAGCTTGGATGGCTAGCTACGCTATTAGTTTGATTATGGACTATACTTATAGCTTCATCTTCAATTGTTGTTATAGGAGGAAGTTCACATCTTCCATTCTCAATTGTTAACTAGGTGATCCTATGTCCCTGTATCCATTAGATCTTTGCCTTGTTCTGATTTCCATTTGACTAACAAGGCTTGTGGAGAAAGAGAATTAACCCTCTTTTAGATTGTGTAATACCTCTTGCCTTTTGTTCACTGGTGAAAGACAACCTTCTCTTTGCTGGTTTAGTTAAAGATGACTTTAGGTTGTGTTGTGTCTCGTGTTGATCATGCAAGCCTTGTGCTTGATCAAATCCGGATTTTGGCTCAGCTCAATAGCTATGTGTTATGTGTTCTCATGATATAGGATTGTGTTGTGCTTATGTAAGTTCATTTACTTTGTTATACTTATAACATATATTTCCTCCGTTCTTTTTTACTTGACCCGCTTTGATTTTTACACTATTCACCACCCCTCCCTTGACCGTTTTTTGTGAATTATATGTAAGGAAAAACATATTCATTTGAGATCTTTTTGAATTCGTCTCAATAAATACTATCATAATATATAACTTTTATAATTTTTACTTATGGAAAATTAAAGTTATTGATCGTTAAAATTTTACATTGACAAGCATGATAAAAGAAACAAGTTAAGTAAAAAAGAATGGAGGAAGATTATACAAGATTTGGAGGCTAGATTTGTACAAGATACATAACTTACATAAGTCCAACTCCCTAGCCCATGATCTAAAAATAAAACATGCTCTATTTCTTTTACATTCTTACATGGTATTCGAGCTTTCACAAAGTACTTAAACTACATCCGTTTTAATTTTAAATACATACATCTATTAAGCTAAATATAGTACTCCATAATACACACATAGAGCTACTAAATGATAAATACACACGTTCTTTCAAGAAATACAGAGGGTCAAGTAAAGTTTGGTGGAGTTAATATCATCCAAGAGTTCCCTCTAGGTTCTCCTTGGGAGGGTTTGTCTAGTTTCTACTAGGGTTTCCTTTTTTCTAAAGGTTTCTTCAATTTTTCTGGCTCTTTGTTCTTAATTTGTTTCGACAATGGCATCTACTCCCTTAGATGTTGTTGAGGGGGGTACGAATAGCACCAGCGCAATCCAATGAAACAAACAATAAAGAGAGCGACAAAGCCTTGGAGAAGGTTGATGATAATGTAGAAAGTAAAGTGACAGAGGAAGCGATCGAATGGATAGAGGATGCTGAGGAAGATGAGGAGGCAAGGGTGGAATTAGGGCTAGTAGGCAAATTATGGACGAATCGAAATGTGAACGTGAATGCTTTCATCTCCACTATGAAGAATGTCTTGCAACCTAAACATGGAATGGAGCTTAGTAATATTGGCAAAAATACCTTTGTATTTCAGTTTCCCCATTGGAGAGACAAGTTGGACGTGGTAGAAGGACAACCATGGCATTTTGATCGCCATGCTTTGATTCTTGGTGATATAGAAGATAATGTCAAGCCCATGGATGTGAATTTGTTCGAATTACCAATGTGGGTTAGGGTGTATAACTTGCCCTTTAAAGGCAAATTGAATTTCTGCTAATGTCGAAGCCATTGGTAACAAAATTGGGAAGTTTATCAAGGTCGATTCCTTGGGTTTTATGGGTATTGACAAATCTGTTCGATCAAGAATTCTTATTGATGCGAATAAACCTTTGCTCCAAAAGGTGAAGGTTAAAATGAGAGAGGGAATTGAAGAATATTTCGATGTCAAAGTATGAAAAACCACCCTTATTTTGTTTCTTTTGTGGCAAACTTGGGCATGAAGTTAAAGACTGCGAAGCGTGTTGTGATGATGACAACCCTAATCTACCTTTTGGAGGTTGGTTAAAAGCCTCGCCATGGAAGAGTTATTAGGGGGATGATAGCAATATAGGAGTGCAGAAAGATAATACGTGTTCACTACAAGGCCCAAAAAGAAAGAGAAGGAGGTGCTTGATGGTCAATTGAAGGTTAGGGAGAATGATAAGTCTGAACAATATGAATAATAGTAGCCCTGACTTTGATACTATGAAGGAAAATGGCACAAATAATCAGCTCTTGAGTTCTGGTGGCTCCCCTGACAATCTGAACTTTCATAATGCCCCTGACATAAGCAACATGCCAAATAATGCCAACTCTCGTGGGAGAAAGATCATTTGTGTGAAGAAACGGGCAGAAAAGAATGAGACAAACTCATTGTTTTCTCAGCTTGCTGGAGCAGTTAGGAAAACAAGAGAAGATGATGGAGGGAGGGAGGTGGGTGAACAGAATGGGAATGGTTCGAAGAAACCGAAAGTAAGTGGGAAGCATGGAGATGACTTTGACTCGATCATGACTGAAAATTTGGCGGGCTTCACACCTTGGGCTCTAGGTGACCAATGAAGTACACCCTTTCCTGGAATTGTAGGGGGCTGGGAAGCTCTTGAAAGGTCAATGCGGTTGTCATCACTGAAAATCTAGGTTTAGTATTTTTTCAAGAAACAAAACTTATCTTGTATGAGATGGAGAAAATAAAAATAAATTGAAATATAGTGGAATGATAGCAGTGGGGTGTGAGGGAGAGGGTAGGAAAAGAAAAGGGGGGATAGCTCTATTATGGAGAGAGGATTGGGAAGTAGACTTACAAACCTACTCTCTCAATCACATTGATGTGAGAATAAAATTGGAGGGAATGGCTACGTGGAGATTAAGAAAAACGGGTGAAATTCTGAAAAATCTCGACAATAGGGATGACATTCTTTGGCTTATTGGTGGAGATTTTAACTTGATGCTTTGGTCTATGGAGAAAAAAGGGGGGATGTTTTCGATTTTAATGAAGCCTCTATATTGCATGACACTCTTGACAGTTGCAAGTTAGGGGACCTTGGCTATGTTGGATACCAATTTACCTGGTCGAATAATAGAGAAGGGGAATGTTCAAGAGAGGCTTGATCGATTTGTTGCAACTGATGGTTGGCGTGATTTGTTTCCTGGCAGCTTCGTTAATCACCTTGAGAGAAGGAAATCGGACCATCTCCCGATTCTCTTGTGTATTAAAGATCGTGTTCAAGCCCCGAAAAAGAAAAAAAGAGTGAAAGTTTTTCGTTTCAAAGAGATGTGGCTTCAAGAGGACTCTTGTGGCAACATTATTCGTCAAGCTTGGGAAGGGGGTGGTGATATTTCTCAAAATATCAACCGTATTGCTGCAAATTTGGGAGGATGGAGTAAAGCTGTAATCCCCCGTATTTTCTTAGTATATAATAATCATATATATTTTTATTATACGACTATTTTAATAATTTTATATTTATACAATGATTTTTTTTATTTATACAAAATATTTTTGGGAAGATTTCAGAAAATAAAAACAAGAATCTTTTTAAAACCCATAATTCCATTTTAATTAAGTAATTGACTCCATATTTCCCTCATTCACATTTTTTTTAAGGAAACTTGCTCCTTATTTCCCCTTCTCACAACCCTCACATATTGCATTTACTGCTTCCCCTTATTACTCCTTCACTACCTCCCTCATTCTCCTTTCACGACTCACAAGCACAATCAAAAAAAAAAAAAAGTTCTGCTTCCTCTGTTGCGTTGCTGCTGCCTCAGCCGGAACCCACCACCGTAGTGCCACCGGCGACCCTCGCCGCTGCCCTCAGCCCTGCCGCCGCCCAACCGGAGAGGACTTCGTAGAGGGTGACTTCTAACCTTAAAGTGGCCAATCAATTTGTGTACTCAAGATTCATCACAGGTTTTTGCATAAACTGTCTTGCATCAAGGTGATGGGATTTGAGTGGAGAGTTGGTTAACCAGTTAGCTTATTTCATAACACAGATTGAATTTTATTTTGGTGTTGGTTCCATTACTTCCTATTTTACTGGATTTTGAATAAGGGCCGTTATGGTTCCAACTTGTAAGACTTTGAGTTTTGACTTCCAGTTTTGAAACTTATATTTTTTTTTAAAACTAATTTAGTTTTCCGCTGCTGATTTCTGAAACTAGCCTTAACGTTTGAACACGTGGCGGTAGCACTCCAATAATTCTCTTACAGGTTATACAGGCTTTACAGGTTATCACAAGTTTTCTTTTAGAGAGAATTATTGGGGTGTTACAAAAGCGTATCTTGGAAATTTTGCGAAGGAGATGGGTGAGTGCAAAGCTACTATGGCAATGTTGATGGAGAAAGACCCGACCCCGAAAAATATTTCTCAAATGCAAGCAATTGACGAGAGGATGGATGAGCTTGAAGAGAGGGAAGAGGTGTACGAGAAACAGCGGAGTAGACAAGAATGGCTCAAAAGTAGAGATAAAAACTCCAGTTTATTTCATACAAAGGCAAAGCAACGGCGTAAAAGAAATCAAATTGTGAAAATTCGTGACGAAGTTGCGAATATTTATGAAGAGGAGGACCATATTGCTGAGGTC